TAGTTTTGCTGTTAAATATAATAGCTAAAGTGGTGGTATTTGCAAGATCTGAAGTCAAAATTTTGTACAAAAACCATATATATATATTTGGGATCAGTAGTAATAGATCTTTTATATTTCAAAGATACAAATTTTAATTGGAATATTTCGACACATATGGATAAGTATATTTTGTTAATTGTGAACAGTGGAGATATCTGAAAACTGAATGTTTTTATGCTCACATTTAAAAAATTTCAGTTTTTTCATGAAGCAGGAATTTAATGTAAAACTTTTCACACTTTTTTGTAATGTTTCAAACAAATAAGGAGGCCAAAATAAATTTACATGGTCAAAATTCAATCCGTCAAAATGTAACTTATTAGTATTTCAAGGAGAAAACAAATATTTTTAATAGTTTATTTGTATTGACATTAAAACATTTATCAGGTTTTTTTCCAGTAGAAAATTGCATCATTCACAATAAGAAAACAATACAAAAAAAAAATGTATTTGGATATTTTTTGATCAATACAGTTATATAACATCATTGTATGTAGTCAAAACTTTATAAGGAGTTTAAGCTATCATTTAAAGGAAGAAAATCAGAGAACTTAAAAGAAACTATATATTTATCTATTTGTTTGTTTGTTTTCTTTATTGCATTTACCATCTGTGATACACGCTTGTTTTACGTACTACACTTAGTTATGATGTAATTTGTTACTTTTTAAATAAATATTTTGAATAGTTAAGATACTGTTGGCTCAAGTTGATTTTTTGTCTCGTCGCAGAATGCAAGTCATAGGGATTATAATCTGGCGGTGGTGAAGATGGCATAAACAATTTGTTTAAGCTTTATATTTCAGAAGGTAGAAGACCTGGATGCTTCATACCTTGTATACAGTTGCCTTATGTTACGAAGTTTCCATTTGTTATATGTCCATTGTCCTTGACCTCATTTTAATGTTTAAGCGACTGCTTGAAAAGAAATTGTTTTTTTTTTTGTCATGTTAATTTCATACTTATTATGAGTAATATGACAACTATATTTGGTAAATCGGTCCCTTGCAAGGTCTACATGTTGGTCATACAGGATTCACCTGACCTCGACCTCATTTCATGGATCTGTAATCAAGGTTAAATTTACGTGGTCAAGTCTGTATCTCAGATACTATAAGCAATAGGTCAACTATATTTGGTGTATGGTATGATTGTAACATCTACATATCTGACTGACAGTTTTCATCTGACTGTGACCTGATTTTCATGGTTCATTGGTCAATGTAAATTTTTTTCTGATTTGGTCTATTTGTCAGATATTACAAGCAGAAGGTCAACTATATTTGTCAGTTAGAATGATGTATTTGTCTGTCGGGCAGGATTCATCTGACCGTAACCTCATTTTCATGGTTCATTGGTCAATGTTAGTTTACATGGTTTTGTCTGTTTACCAAATACTGTAAGCAATAGGTCAACTATATTGGTTGTATGGAATGATTGTAAGGTGTACATGTCTGTCTGGCAGGGCTCATTTGACCTTGACCTCATTTTCATGGTTTATTGGTCAGTGTTCAATTTTCATAATTAGGTCTGTTTCTTGGATACCATAAGCAATATGGTTACTATATTTGGTGTATGGTATGATTGTAAGGTGTACACGTCTGTCTTGGTGTTTCTGAACTTGACTTCATTTACAACGATCATTGATAATGTTAATTTTAGTTTGAAACTCATAGTAAAAGCTTCATATTACACACTTTCAACAAAAATTCAATCATAAATAAAGCAGGCGAGACATTTCAGAGTGTGCACTCTTGTTTAACTTAGTTCTACAAGTTTTTCTTTCTGATTCCATAACAACATATGTATGTTGTACTGTGCATATCATAGGATATATCTAACTTAAGGTTTATTTGGTTCCAGTTTACCTTTTTTCAACCAAATTAGTATTTTGTCAATGACAATAGTTTAGAAAAAATAACAATTTTTGCCTCTCATCAACCCTTCTTGTAGATATTTAGATTTATAGTTGTTTGCATAACACCCAATAGCAAATATTTCATGCATTTAAAAGACCAAAACAAATTAACAACAACAAAAAATAGTTAATTCAAAGAGGGTTAACCAGTAGGAATTATTAGAATTGTGACTGCCACTTCAAATTGAGGGTATGTAGGATAAGGGCTGAAATTTTGCCTGTAAAAAAGAAAGGGTATTGCAGTGTTGCACTAGGCATGATATTTATTGCTCCCTTTCAGACTGGACCTGATGCTTAATTATTTGACCCACACAGCCAAACTGACACCACTCTAGCATTGGTTTTCCTGATGGATGGGTAAAATACTGGGATGAACATATTTCTTTTCCCTGTCAACCCTTGGGGTATGAAAATAAGCATATATATTTGATATTTAATGGTATAAATAAATCCTCATTTTAGGATTGGCAGCTTAATTGCAATCACATTGCCTTCCTTTTGTCCAACAAATATTTGTGTCACTCTTTCTCAGGAACTGTTTGATAGAATTACGACATATTTGGTCAGCAGCTTGAGAGTGATGAGTTACAATGTGTGAGCACTTTTTTTTCATACAAATACTTTCTGTTGGCCAATACGTTCAATTATTTTCATTGCACTTTTCTCAGTAAGTAACGAAAAGAATGATTTCATATTTGGTCAAGCTTGAAAGTGATGTATTGAAATGGACGAGGGCTTTTCAAATCTGTCAGACACCTAATTCCTGTTTCCTGATACTTTGAATTATGAGTGGGGGTATGCTTAGAACGCCAACACTTGCAACAACTTGTTAGTAGTCAGTGACATATTAGTTGGTTATTTTTCCTTGCATTCTGCAACTTTAGATAGCGATTATAATCTTGCGGCAGTGGTGTAGACTGTTTGTATAAAGCTTTCTATTTCATAAGGTAGAAGACATGGATGCTTCATAATTTGTATACAGATGCCTTATGTTATTAAGCTTCCATATGACATATGTCCATTGTCATTGACTGGATTTTCATGGTTCAGTGACTGCTTAAAAAAATGATTTTTTTTGTCATGTGAATTTATTACTAACCTCAACCTCACTTCTACTCACCAGGTATATACTATAATTTGCTAATTTATTGCTTATACTTAAGATTTCCTTCCCCTTTTCAATTCATAATATTGTGGCCATATTTTTCAAAGTGGGATAATAAGATATCATTGGATCTTTGGCCCTATGCTTTGACAGGATACTAAAGGATAATAAGATATCACTGGATCTTTGGCCCTATGCTTTGACAGGATACTAAAGGATAATAAGATATCATTGGATCTTTGGCCCTATGCTTTGACAGGATACTAAAGGATAATAAGATATCATTGGATCTTTGGCCCTATGCTTTGACAGGATACTAAAGGATAATAAGATATCATTGGATCTTTGGCCCTTTGCTTTGAGAGGATACTAAAGGAAAATAAGATATCATTGGATCTTTGGCCCTATGCTTTGACAGGATACTAAAGGCTAATAAGATATAATTGGATCTTTGGCCCTATGCTTTGACAGGATACTAAAGGATAATAATATATCATTGGATCTTTGGCCCTTTGCTTTGACAGATACTAAAGGATAATAAGATATCATTGGATCTTTGGCCCTATGCTGTGACAGGATACTAAAGGATAATAGGATATCATTGGATCTTTGGCCCTATGCTTTGAGAGGATAATAAAGGATAAGATATCATTTGATCTTTGGCCCTATGCTTTGACAGGATACTAAAGGATAATAAGATATCATTGGATCTTTGGCCCTATGCTTTGACAGGATACTAAAGGATAATAAGATATCATTGGATCTTTGGCCCTATGCTTTGGCAGGATACTAAAGGATAATAAGATATCATTGGATCTTTGGCCCTATGCTTTGACAGGATACTAAAGGATAATAAGATATCATTGGATCTTTGGCCCTATGCTTTGACAGGATACTAAAGGATAATAAGATATCATTGGATCTTTGGCCCAATGGTTTGACAGATACTAAAGGATAATAAGATATCATTGGATCTTTGGCCCTATGCTTTGACAGGATACTAAAGGTTAATAAGATATCATCGGATCTTTGGCCCTATGCTTTGACAGGATACTAAAGGATAATAAGATATCATTGGATCTTTGGCCCTATGCTTTGACAGGATACTAAAGGATAATAAGATATCATTGGATCTTTGGCCCTATGCTTTGACAGGATACTAAAGGATAAGATATCATTGGATCTTTGGCCCTATGCTTTGACAGGATACTAAAGGATAATAAGATATCATTGGATCTTTGGCCCTATGCTTTGACAGGATACTAAAGGTTAATAAGATATCATTGGATCTTTGGCCCTTTGCTTTGACAGGATACTAAAGGATAATAATATATCATTGGATCTTTGGCCCTATGCTGTGACAGGATACTAAAGGATAATAAGATATCATTGGATCTTTGGCCCTATACTTTGACAGGATACTGAAGGATAATAAGATATCATTTGATCTTTGGCCCTATGCTTTGACAGGATACTAAAGGATAAGATATCATTGGATCTTTGGCCCTATGCTTTGACAGGATACTAAAGGATAATAAGATATCATTGGATCTTTGGCCCTATGCTTTGACAGGATACTAAACACCTTAGAGAAGCGCTCCTTCTAATAGCTGAGGTATTCTTCAAATATTTGATCTGATAACTGTGAGGAGTAGGTGATGGAAATAGTATGACTTGTGAAATAGACATGTAACCAACTAAATACTGTTGACCTGTTATGATTAATGACTGAAAACACATCTATCTGATCACTGAAAAAATGGAAATGAGATCAAGGTCAAAGTGAAAATGACAGTTTCATATATGATAACTCCATACAAAGGTGAAAGAGATGACAAGATATTATTAAAGTCAGTAGCATTGTAAGTGTTGCCAAAAAGTAAAACATACGATTTCTCTCCTGTGACTTATATTATGTTAAACAAAACTAGCAGACAGATTTACATATATATTGAGTTAAATAAAAGATCATTTAGTAGGGCATGGTCTTGAATACATAAAACAGGTGTAAAACATTCTTTGCTTTTGCAGTTTTAAGCATAAAGAGAGCAAATAAATCAAAATTAAAAGTCATTAAAATGTTCCAAGTTCAATAGATTATTAGATATCAATTTTGTTCAGTTTCCTCATAATTCAGACTGTTTCTTCTTCGTTGTCTTTTCAGGTTCAAGAAGCTCTAGATAATATAAAAATAAATCAATGTTTAACCACTATCAAATGTGAAGTTTATATATAATGAAGAAAAATTGCATGATTCAACACCTCATTATGTTAAATTGGAATTCTGATCATACAACAAATATTGTTTTATTTTATTTTACAGTCGTCAGAATATAAACAAATCATTAATCTTAATTTATTCAGTGACCAATATATAAAGAGACTTGTAACAAAGAATTGTTCATGTATTAAAGTCAAATGAATTTCATCTTGCAGTAAATCATAAAAATAAAAGTCAATGTTCTTAAATGAACAGTAACAGTGAGAAATTCCACAATATCTGCAACATATCAAAATTATAAAAATAAAAGACATAGAGTGGGTGGCGCATATTCACCGTGGACACATTTTCGCCGTTTTTGCTATTTTTTCTGTAAATTTTGTGTGCCTTTACCCAACACTTGCCTAAAAAGATGCTAAACACTGTTTGTAATGTTTGAACTGTTGATATTCCCCTTTACCCCATTTCCAATGTTATTCGCACATATAAAGAAATACGCTGGTGTTTTTGAACGATTTCGGCAATTATGTAAGATTTATATGGCACGCATGCGCAGTCATAAAGTAAATATCTGTTAGAAAAATCGTAAAGGAATGATCTCTCAAGCTAATTCATGTAATTGCAAACAATTGTTTTTATAATATACAAGGATAATGAGGATGTTCATATCATACATTGCGGCGAAAATGTGTCCCCCATGGTACAAGAACAACTTGATTTCCTCTTGAGTTTGTGTTCATTTTTAAAACATTTAACCAATGTTTTGAAGAGAATTCCTTTATCAAACATTTTTTTCATATAGTAAACTTTCTGAAACCTACATAAAAAGTTTCAAATATTCGAATGTAGGTCGGATGTAGGTGGAAATGAACGAATTTTGTGGGGAATATGCGCCACCCACTCTACTGTGTTAAAATCTCTATCAAACAAATTAAGGGCTGCTATGAAATATTCCATAAGAAGAACATATATTGCTGTGTTCTAACAGACTAATTGCAGTATACTACATATATTTCTCTTAACAGTTGAATTAGATGTTATAAATAGGTTTCCAAGAGATATAATCAATATAACAGATTAAAATAGATTTGGTGTCTGCCATCTTGTATTGTAAAAAAGCAGAAAACAATCGGTCTAGATCTTTTATGTGCAAATTTTGAGAGAGGTCATGTGTTTTATCTTATTTTTACAACTCTTTTAACAAATACAAAAATGTTTTTGTTTGATTCAATTTTTGCAACTTTGCCATATAAGAGGAGGTAACTCAGATAATGTATCTTTATAAGGGAATGTGTTTGAAAATTACCTACTTTGTTTTGTAGCAAGAAAACTATTCATGTGACCCCAATTTTCCATTTTATTTTCAGAAAGCACTATAAAAGAGCTTTCTTCTCATATTTTATCTTAAAATTCTTTTGTTTAGTTTTCTTTGTATTACACAAAATTTGGTTTTTCATTTATAATCTATAAAAAATCTGACAATTTTGAAAAACCTGTAGACAGAATAATCTGTTCCGTGTGTGTTTATATTTGTCATTTCATATTTCCTTTTTTATCATTTAGACTTTTAATTTTTGTTCACACATAAATTTTCCATGTGAAAAAAAAAGAAAGTAAAAACCCAAATGATAAAAGGAAATATTAAATGACAAATATAAACACACAAGAGATAAATTATTCAGTCTAAAAAAACCTGTAGCTTGAAAAAAAAAGCCCTGTGACCGATACTTTTTTTTTAAAGCATGTTATTTCATATCTGTTAAGAATTAGCTTCTCTTATTAGATAACAAGGGGCCACATGACATGCTTTATTCTTTAGTAAAAAATTCCATCGGTCTTTAACAGAAAAAAACGGACCAGAAAACCGGTCGTTAACGGACTTTTACATGTTAATGACCAGTGGGGCATGGTTCTCTGTTTAGAGTGTTGTCTCTTTAATAAAACACAATCGCGATTCGTTAATTATAAAATTATAGAAAACTTTATTTTGTATTCATATACTGAAAAATTGCACTTAAATGAATGGCAGTGACTTATAGTTATCACTATGGCTGGTCTTCACTCTTTCCTATAGAAATCGTACAATAACTCGAGTTTGCTTTGAACAATTTGAATTTATGAGAATTTTTAAAAACATGGTTCCTCAATGAAATAAACATAATAGTTATTGAAGAACTGGTCATTATCGTGATACATGGACTGCCCGTAGGACAGTGGTATTGACTGCGACGGTGATAATGACCTTGCCTACAGCTCAGTAATTATCGCTTTCTTAGTCAATACCACTGTCCTGTAGGCAGTCCTTATATCACGACAATGACCAGTTTTTCAATAACTATTATGTAAATATAAACTACATTTTGGCACATTATCAAAATTTTTTATTGATTTTAATAAGACCCCACCTCCTGCAACTACCTAAAAAATAAAATAATTTACTAACTGTAAAGCAATAATAAGCTGACCACTTAACATACCTTTAACTGGATGGGCATCTACTTCTTTGAAAGGAGGAATATATGATTCCTCATTTCCTTCAGGTGGAAAAGTGTCTTTTATTGAATGACCAGATCCCTTTGAAATTAATTTTTTTTCTTTCAAATTCAAAATAGAGTTTGCTATTATTCTGGCTGTTTCCATAGTGTATCCTCCACTGGTTACCATGACAATTGGTATGTTTTTAGCTCTGACTTTGGAAAACACAATTTCATCTCTTTTTATAATTCCCTGATACAAAAATAAGATAATTCCAATAAATTTGCAAACTTTAAGACTATTAGGTTGTCCATTTGTGTTACATGTCAATTCTGTGTTGTTTATGTGATATGTTATTTCTGTCCTATTACTAAGTATGGATGTAGGACATCCTGAATCACTCTTGGATGATATGAAAGTTTGCTTGCTTTAGTTTTGGGTTTTTGATATCCTTATTCTTAATAGTTTGTACTGACTTTATCTTTCCCTGTCCTGGAATCTCTTTAGTTTTAGAAGTTCCTATTTTTGAATCAAGTTTTGTGAGTTTACAATTGCAATCACATGCAATCACATGCAATGAAAACACCCATTTTCCATAAAGTAACCCTTAGTTATGTATCTGTGCCATTATTGTATACTACTGTATGCTTACCTCTGCAGTAATATCCAGTCTCCCCAAAGGATCCCCAAGTAATATATCTGTGCCAGCATTGTAAACTATAATATCTGGTTTGAATTCTTTTAATGCTTCTTCTATTGTTCTGAAAAATGAACCAACTTATAAACTTAAGGCCCTAATGATCCTGCTTTGCTCTCTGAAAAACCTCTTGACTCAAAATAATTTTTACCACCATCATAAGCCTATTGTGCAGATTAAATTTGAAATTATTACATCAGGGCTTCCAACATGGTCGTATTGTTCAGACAAGTCAGATTATATTCTCTTCCATTGTGCTGGGCCTGAATTGGACATATAATATGGTTTTGCCATTTTTTAAAACATAATTCAGAAAAAAGTTAAAGTTTATGCGATCTTTTTGACCTGACCTTTAGCCTTAAACAGCCACACACTCCTGGTCATAAAAGTGAAATGATGAATAAGTATTATAAAAACAAATCCTACTTTAATACTCCTTCATTACAATCAAGGTTAACTATTTGTCTGACAGATGAAATTTACCTGTTCAGACGACAAGTAAACAATTTTGTACTGGATATGATCAGTCTTGAAGAAATAACGTGGAAAGAACTACTTAATATAAATAATGCTTTGTGAACAAACACAGATTTTACATTTCTGTCTCTGGTCCATGTTTTACCATTGTGATGTCAACATCCAGTATTAGGAAAATGTGCTTTTTAAAAAGAAAGTAAAGGTTTTGACAGAGTTATTTTGCATTAATAACGAGTCTAAGGCAGATATAAGGATGCTGATGATACACTGTCAATGTAACAATTTATGTCATTGAATTTATAGAAAAAATCTGAAGTTTAATATCCATTGTATGTCCATCATTGTTATGACATCCAAATGATTACCATGATTGCCTTTTGTTACCAAATCCAAAAAAAGAGTTTAAAATTGGAATAAGAGAAAAATGTCCGGCTGGCTCAAATATATTTTGGAAGCCCTGTATTATAGAAGTGTTACTTTTTCAAATAATAAAATTGATTCTAAATCAGTTAAATTTACTGAAAGATCTGAAATATATTAATGTAGGATACATAACTTAATTACAAAACAATTTTAATGTATCCTTTATCAAAACATTGGAACTTAAGTACTGAATACCTTTTAACTTTTTCTAAATACTCATCATCCTTTGTGTGGTGTAAACAATTTGCTCTTTTCTTTATAGCAGCTAAAAAGAAATAAATGAAATAGTTCCATCAACAACTTAACATAACACTGTATCTTTGATCATACAAAGTCAAAATGGCATTGAAATGTTTTACTGAAATAGCAAAAAACATTACACACTCATTATCATGTAAGAAGTACTGTAAAGTCCCTATCCTGATACAGGAAAGCATATTTTGTAATTAAAATTATTCTAGTTAAGTAAAATAAAGATATGTATAATATATTTGTAAACAAATACCATTGAAGAATATGAAATCTTTACAATTGTAGAACTAGACAACTAACATTAAATCCTTGTACCCAGTTACTACCAATAAAGATATAAAAATATGTTTCATTTTCTAACAGTTTACCTTAATAATTACATCCATATCAGCCCTACCTTTTGCTTTTAAATCTCGAGGATATATTGCACCATTATAAACATCAAGGATATATACACTGTTATCATTCAGAAAATCTCTCTCATGACCATTTCCCTGTAAATAATACATAGATATTTTCCTGCTCAGAAACCATACTTTGAAGTATATTCTATTTGTTATGGTATGCAATATAAGGTAATGGTGTCATGAAGGATAAAAATACAGTTCTAGCAGGTTTTCAAACCTTTACATAACTTAATAAAACATTTTTGCCTGAAAGATGCTGAATGTGGTGAATATCATTCATATTCCTTTATCTTTACAGTTGTGTGTAATATTTTGTGGACTAATACTTGTCTGTTTCTCTTTTTGCTTCTACATAGTGTTGCCAGCCTTAACATAAATATGTAATAATATATAATAATTTTAACAATACAAGCTGTGTATGCATACCTGCTAACTGTCACTATTTGCAAGGGATTTCCCCCATGAAAGCTTTAATAAAATGGAAATTTTGATAGAGTCATTTTGTCCACAATTTAAAACAAAACAATCAATTTTTAATGGCTATAGGTTTGTAAAAGTATGAAGAAGCAAAAAAACAACAATTAAAATAAATTTGAAGGCCCATTTAAAGGTTTTGTAGGACTATGAGAGCCATCTTACACATAAAACCCCTATGGGTATTTTGAAATGTTGGCAGATATGTTATGTAAAATAGCTCAGTAATAAATGTAAATTACTAAGCTATTTTGCATAAACAACTAGTATCGTTTAAATTATTGACACTGACGAAGTCTATTTTTTTCAGCCGAAATGATTGTCAACACGAATTTTATAGAATCATCTCCTTATATTACCACCTTATATTAGTATCATTGCCCAAATCTTAAGACTTTTATAATTTTTTTCCTTATCTCTGCAGTATCGCCTATTCTAGACGATCATGTACATATTAATTTTTTCTGGTTGACCCTTTTTATAGACTTCTATATATATTACTGTGTTACGACCCAATGGAGAACATCTGTCATAAAGTTATCACATATTTAGACATATATAATATAATTAAAATTTGATATGATGGCATGGTAACTAAAATTATCATCCTTTATGACAGACAAAATACAGCTGATCTGTAAGGTAAACCATCTACTTGCCACTATACATCATGTACTGTGTTACAACCCTAGATAACGCTGACGAGGAAAGGCATTACTCGACTAACCAAAGCTATATTTTTATATAGCCTAGTTGGATGAGTGGTCTAGGGCGCTAGACACAGTTCAGGCTGTGTTGCCACGATGTTACAGAAGCATGGTTTGAATCCCGCTGAGGGAAGAATAAAACTTTGCTAACGCAAATTTGCAGATCTAACATTGTTGGGCTAAATTTGAGACAAATTTTATATATATATATATATATACATATATCATTAACCCTACCAATTTTACTGCATCTTATGGCATATGATTGCGAGTACAATTACCATTCTATAACTGATTATTCGTCAATATTCATGCAATAACCTTTTTATTACATAACTTTTCAAATGACAAAGAAGTCTAACGTGGGTCCAACGGTTGCTAAAAAACAATACAAAACTCAAAAAGCTAATAGAAAGCACAGAAAATATTAATATTGAAAAACTAGTATTTCTAGGTCCACCAAACATGTAAAAACCCCTTTTGGAAAGAGGTTTTTCAAGCATGGACAGAAATGCAAAATAAACTTATACCAAATAAAATGCTTCGCAGGGCGCAGCTTGATACGACCGCAGAGGTCGAACCCTGAACAGTTGGGGCAAGTATGGACACAACATTGAAGCTTGATACAGCTCTGAATTTGGATTGTGATTAAATATTTGACACAGCATAGGTTTCTGACACAGAATGAATGTGGTCTAAGAACTTAAAAATTTTAAATTGGACATTCACCTATTATGGTCCAATATCCAAAATCTAAATACATGGTTAGATTCAGCATATCAAAGAACCCCAAGAATTCAATTTTTGATGAAATCAAACAAAGTTTTATTTTAGACCCTTTTGACCTCAATGTGGACAAAGTTGATAACGGGGCCCAAAAATCAAAAATCTAAATACATGGTTAGATTCAGCATATCAAAGAACCCCATATATTCAATTTTTGTTGAAATCAAACAAAGTTTAATTTTGGACCCCGATTTGGACCAACTTGAAAACTGGGCCCATAATCAAAAATCTAAATACATGTTTAGATTCAGCATATCAAAGAACCCTAAAAATTCAATTTTTGTTAAAATCAAACTAAGTTTAATTTTGGACCCTTTGGACCTTAATGTAGACCAATTTGAAAACGGAACCAAAAATTAAGAATCTAAATACACGGTTAGAATTAGCATATCAAAGAACCCCAATAATTCATTTTTTGATGAAATCAAACAAAGTTAAATTTTGGACCCTTTGGACCTCAATGTGGACCAATTTAAAAACGGGGCCAAAATCCAAAAACTTAATACACAGTTAGATTCAGCATATTAAAGAACCCCAAGAATTCAAGAATAAAACCCCATTGAAATTGATCAAGAAATAAGCAATTTATACGAAGTATCTTCTTTTCCACAATACTGTGCAATTGAATATTTCTTGCTATTGCGCAATACTGTACAATTGACAATTTCTTGCTATTGCACAATATTGTGCTATTGGATATTTCTTGCTATTGCGCAATACTGTGCAATTGAAGATTTCTTGCTATTGCGCAATACTGTGCAATTGAAGATTTCTTGCTATTGTGCAATACTGTGGAATTGAAAATTTCTTGCTATTGCACAATACTTATTATATAATAATTTACACATCCTGTTTGGTGTGTATCTCCTACCATATCATTATTATTTGCTTTTAAATATAAATCAGAAATAACCAACTTAAAATGGAAAATTTTAAAAGAAAAAAAAAGCTTATTTTTGGCCCCTTTTTGGCCCCTTATTCCTTAACTGTTGGTACCATAACCCCCAAAATCAATCCCAACCTTCCTTTCTTGGTATTGAACCTTATGGTAAAATTTCATGGAGATCCATTCACTTAAACTAAAGTTAGAGTGCGAAAACTAATGTGTCTTCGGACGACGCCGGACGACGACGACGATATCTGCAGGGACCCCTGGCTTCCAATATTAGAAGAATAATGTTTTATTATACAAAAAATAGGTACATTGTGTACCGGAACTACTTTCATTTACATTTCTTTACCTTATCCACATCACCATCCATGTTATGATTTAATACTATTATATGTTGGTTTATATGTATGCTTGATGTTATGTCTATGTTTATAACTACATTTATGTTCCTCTTAGTTATTCCCTTTACGAAAATAACTGAAAAAAAATCCTTTGCAAGCTGTATTATAAATGCTGTAAGTAAGATATATCTTTTTGTTTTTGTTTTTGTTTTTTTTTTTTTGCTTTTTCCAAAATTCCAAATTTCTGTGATTTTTATTTATTTATTCTTTTATTTTTCTATTCTATTCAAATATATGGATCATTCTATATTGATAATGTATTAGTTGGATATATTATAATTTATAAATGTATATATTACAGATAAAATAAACTAACAAGTACTAACCAAATTGATTATATACCGCTAACGGTTAACGAGGCCAGGATAAGGTACCGGTATTTGATGTATCCACTAACAAAGAAGTCTATGTTTAACTTCTGCTAAAGTCACCATTTCAAGCAATATAGCACCAGTGCAATACCAAGGAATATTACATTCGTTAATCAGAGCCTAGTACATTTAAGACAATATTTATGCAATAACCACATGTTAAATGAAAATTTTGACACCACAATAGGCCCCTGTCTTTGAACAATCACACATTAATTTAGTCCTGTGCTTTGCTTTTGCGCCAATTGACATTTCATTGAGGAACAAACCATATTTCATTTGCGCCAAAATAAATACATTTCATTTGCACCAAGATACAGGTAAATAGTATAAATAATAGATCTTTATTGAAAAGAGACTTTTAATAATAATGTTACAACATAGTTTTGATAGCATAGTATAACATATTCATCATCAATCACATTCATCAATAAACCACAATAAAAACATTAAAAACTGATTAGTTATTGTAAATGCTAAGATTGTACTTTTTGCTGGTATGAACCATGCTTGGTTGTCTGTATCATTCAATGTTTGTATGATGGTTTTGATCTCTACATCTGTTGTGATTCTGGCTTTACAACTGTTTTGGGTACATCTATACGATTTGTCTCCAAATGAATTATGTCCATTTTGTCTCCTCAAACATGTGAACAATATGAGAAATAAGTATGAACTCACTTACTTACCCAATTGGAATGATACTCTATAACATTTCCTATACCAGCCTCGTATTCATGATGCAACTTATATTAATGCGTTTCCGTTATATTTTACCTGTAAATTGGTGTAAAAGCAGTATAATTTTGGCGAAAATGAAATACAACCCTGTGGCGCAATTGAAATGTTGCATTTCTAAAAATTGGCGCAAATGCAATGCACTCACTTAGTCATAGTCAATACAAATTGATTATTTACCTGGTGAGCATCAAGATCTATAATCATGGCTTTCTGTATTTTAGGGTTGGATGCCATCAGAAATCGGATAGCCAGAGTAATGTCAGCATAAACACAAAATCCTCCTCCATCTTCTCCATGTGCATGATGGAAACCTCCTCCAATGTTAATGGCCCAACCTCTTTCCACAGCAAGCTTTGCAGCCTATAAAGTGCATACATTCAATTTGTAGATTCACTTTACATTTTCTTCAGTTGATCAACAAAACTTAAGGATACTGAAGATAACTTATTGTTTGCACATGCAAGGCATTTAAACCAAAAGTAATTTATCCTTGTAAATGTCAAAGAGTGCCGTATTATTATTACACAATTAGTGCATGCATATTATGAAGCAATTAAAATCAACTATATTTACAAAATTAATTATCTGGTTTAAATTAGTTGACAGAGAAACACCTGGTGTAAGGTGTGCTCTGAAGCTGTAAACAGTGGTTGACTGTTCTGTAGCTATTGTTGACAGAGAACACCTAGTGTGAGGTGTGCTTTGAAGCTGTAAACAGTGGTTGACTGTACTGTAGCTATTGTTGACTTAGAACACCAAGTGTAAGGTGTGCTCTGAAACTGTAAACAGTACTTGACTGTACTGTAGCTAATGTTGACAGAGAAGACCTAGTGTAAGGTGAGCTCTGAAACTGTAAACAGTAGTTGACTGTACTGTAGCTACTGTTGACAGAGAACACCTAGTGTAAGGTGTAGTCTGAAGCTGTAAACAGTGGTTGACTGTACTGTAGCTATTGTTGACAGAGAAGACCTAGTGTAAGGTGAGCTCTGAAACTGTAAACAGTAGTTGACTGTACTGTAACTATTGTTGACAGAGAACACCTAGAGTAAGGTGTGCTCTGAAGCTGTAAACAGTGGTTGACTGTACTGTAGCTATTGTTGACAGAGAAGACCTAGTGTAAGGTGAGCTCTGAAACTGTAAACAGTAGTTGACTGTACTGTAGCTACTGTTGACGGAGAACACCTAGTGTAAGGTGTAGTCTGAAGCTGTAAACAGTGGTTGACTGTACTGTAGCTACTGTTGACAGAGAACACCTAGTGTGAGGTGTGCTTTGAAGCTGTAAACAGTGGTTGACTGTACTGTAGCTATTGTTGACTTAGAACACCAAGTGAAAGGTGTAGTCTGAAGCCGTAAACAGTAGTTGAATCTACTGTAGCTATTGTTGACAGAGAAGACCTAGTGTAAGGTGAGCTCTGAAACTGTAAACAGTAGTTGACTGTACTGTAACTATTGTTGACAGAGAACACCTAGAGTAAGGTGTGCTCTGAAGCTGTAAACAGTGGTTGACTGTACTGTAGCTATTGTTGACAGAGAACACCTAGAGTAAGGTGTGCTCTGAAGCTGTAAACAGTGGTTGACTGTACTGTAGCTATTGTTGACAGAGAAGACCTAGTGTAAGGTGAGCTCTGAAACTGTAAACAGTAGTTGACTGTACTGTAGCTACTGTTGACAGAGAACACCTAGAGTAAGGTGTGCTCTGAAGCTGTAAACAGTGGTTGACTGTACTGTAGCTATTGTTGACAGAGATGACCTAGTGTAAGGTGAGCTCTGAAACTGTAAACAGTAGTTGACTGTACTGTAGCTACTGTTGATAGAGAACACCCAGTGTAAGGTGAAGTCTGAAGCTGTAAACAGTGGTTGACTGTACTGTAGCTATTGTTGACAGAGAAGACCTAGTGTAAGGTGAGCTCTGAAGCTGTAAACAGTGGTTGACTGTTCTGTAGCTACTGTTGACAGAGAACAACTAGTGTAAGGTGTAGACTGAAGCTGTAAACAGTAGTTGACTGTACTGTAGCTATTGTTGACAGAGAAGACCTAGTGTAAGGTGTGCTCTGAAGCTGTACACAGTAGTTGACTGTACTGTAGCTATTGTTGACAGAGAACACCTAGTGTGAGGTGTGCTTTGAAGCTGTAAACAGTGGTTGACTGTACTGTAGCTATTGTTGACTTAGAACACCAAGTGTAAGGTGTGCTCTGAAACTGTAAACAGTACTTGACTGTACTGTAGCTAATGTTGACAGAGAAGACCTAGTGTAAGGTGATCTCTGAAACTGTAAACAGTAGTTGACTGTACTGTAGCTACTGTTGACAGAGAACACCTAGTGTAAGGTGTAGTCTGAAGCTGTAAACAGTGGTTGACTGTACTGTAGCTATTGTTGACAGAGAAGACCTAGTGTAAGGTGAGCTCTGAAACTGTAAACAGTAGTTGACTGTACTGTAACTATTGTTGACAGAGAACACCTAGAGTAAGGTGTGCTCTGAAGCTGTAAACAGTGGTTGACTGTACTGTAGCTATTGTTGACAGAGAAGACCTAGTGTAAGGTGAGCTCTGAAACTGTAAACAGTAGTTGACTGTACTGTAGCTACTGTTGACGGAGAACACCTAGTGTAAGGTGTAGTCTGAAGCTGTAAACAGTGGTTGACTGTACTGTAGCTACTGTTGACAGAGAACACCTAGTGTGAGGTGTGCTTTGAAGCTGTAAACAGTGGTTGACTGTACTGTAGCTATTGTTGACTTAGAACACCAAGTGAAAGGTGTAGTCTGAAGCTGTAAACAGTAGTTGAATCTACTGTAGCTATTGTTGACAGAGAAGACCTAGTGTAAGGTGAGCTCTGAAACTGTAAACAGTAGTTGACTGTACTGTAACTATTGTTGACAGAGAACACCTAGAGTAAGGTGTGCTCTGAAGCTGTAAACAGTGGTTGACTGTACTGTAGCTATTGTTGACAGAGAACACCTAGTGTAAGGTGAGCTCTGAAACTGTAAACAGTAGTTGACTGTACTGTAGCTACTGTTGACAGAGAACACCTAGAGTAAGGTGTGCTCTGAAGCTGTAAACAGTGGTTGACTGTACTGTAGCTATTGTTGACAGAGATGACCTAGTGTAAGGTGAGCTCTGAAACTGTAAACAGTAGTTGACTGTACTGTAGCTACTGTTGATAGAGAACACCCAGTGTAAGGTGAAGTCTGAAGCTGTAAACAGTGGTTGACTGTACTGTAGCTATTGTTGACAGAGAAGACCTAGTGTAAGGTGAGCTCTGAAGCTGTAAACAGTGGTTAACTGTTCTGTAGCTACTGTTGACAGAGAACAACTAGTGTAAGGTGTAGTCTGAAGCTGTAAACAGTAGTTGACTGTACTGTAGCTATTGTTGACAGAGAAGACCTAGTGTAAGGTGAGCTCTGAAGCTGTAAACAGTAGTTGACTGTACTGTAGCTATTGTTGACAGAGAACACCTAGTGTGAGGTGTGCTTTGAAGCTGTAAACAGTGGTTGACTGTACTGTAGCTATTGTTGACTTAGAACACCAAGTGTAAGGTGTGCTCTGAAACTGTAAACAGTACTTGACTGTACTGTAGCTAATGTTGACAGAGAAGACCTAGTGTAAGGTGATCTCTGAAACTGTAAACAGTAGTTGACTGTACTGTAGCTACTGTTGACAGAGAACACCTAGTGTAAGGTGTAGTCTGAAGCTGTAAACAGTGGTTGACTGTACTGTAGCTATTGTTGACAGAGAAGACCTAGTGTAAGGTGAGCTCTGAAACTGTAAACAGTAGTTGACTGTACTGTAACTATTGTTGACAGAGAACACCTAGAGTAAGGTGTGCTCTGAAGCTGTAAACAGTGGTTGACTGTACTGTAGCTATTGTTGACAGAGAAGACCTAGTGTAAGGTGAGCTCTGAAACTGTAAACAGTAGTTGACTGTACTGTAGCTACTGTTGACGGAGAACACCTAGTGTAAGGTGTAGTCTGAAGCTGTAAACAGTGGTTGACTGTACTGTAGCTACTGTTGACAGAGAACACCTAGTGTGAGGTGTGCTTTGAAGCTGTAAACAGTGGTTGACTGTACTGTAGCTATTGTTGACTTAGAACACCAAGTGAAAGGTGTAGTCTGAAGCTGTAAACAGTAGTTGAATCTACTGTAGCTATTGTTGACAGAGAAGACCTAGTGTAAGGTGAGCTCTGAAACTGTAAACAGTAGTTGACTGTACTGTAACTATTGTTGACAGAGAACACCTAGAGTAAGGTGTGCTCTGAAGCTGTAAACAGTGGTTGACTGTACTGTAGCTATTGTTGACAGAGAACACCTAGTGTAAGGTGAGCTCTGAAACTGTAAACAGTAGTTGACTGTACTGTAGCTACTGTTGACAGAGAACACCTAGAGTAAGGTGTGCTCTGAAGCTGTAAACAGTGGTTGACTGTACTGTAGCTATTGTTGACAGAGATGACTTAGTGTAAGGTGAGCTCTGAAACTGTAAACAGTAGTTGACTGTACTGTAGCTACTGTTGATAGAGAACACCCAGTGTAAGGTGAAGTCTGAAGCTGTAAACAGTGGTTGACTGTACTGTAGCTATTGTTGACAGAGAAGACCTAGTGTAAGGTGAGCTCTGAAGCTGTAAACAGTGGTTGACTGTTCTGTAGCTACTGTTGACAGAGAACAACTAGTGTAAGGTGTAGTCTGAAGCTGTAAACAGTAGTTGACTGTACTGTAGCTATTGTTGACAGAGAAGACCTAGTGTAAGGTGTGCTCTGAAGCTGTAAACAGTAGTTGACTGTACTGTAGTAATTTTGACAGAGAAGACCTAGTGTAAGGTGTAGTCTGTAGCTGTAAACAGTGGTTGGCTGTACTGTAGCTATTGTTGACAGAGAAGACCTAGTGTAAGGTGTGCTCTAAAGCTGTAAACAGTAGTTGACTGTACTGTAGCTATTGTTGACAGAGAACACCTAGTGTAAGGTGAGCTCTGAAGCTGTAAACAGTAGTTGACTGTACTGTAGCTATTGTTGACAGAGAACACCTAGTGTAAGGTGTAGTCTGAAGCTGTAAACAGTGGTTGACTGTACTGTAGCTATTGTTGACAGAGAACACCTAGTGTAAGGTGAGCTCTGAAGCTGTAAACAGTGGTTGACTGTACTGTAGCTACTGTTGACAGAGAAGACCTAGTGTAAGGTGTAGTCTGAAGCTGTAAACAGTAGTTGACTGTACTGTAGCTATTGTTGACAGAGAAGACCTAGTGTAAGGTGTGCTCTGAAGCTGTAAACAGTAGTTGACTGTACTGTAGCTATTGTTGACAGAGAAGACCTAGTGTAAGGTGTAGTCTGAAGCTGTAAACAGTGGTTGACTGTACTGTAGCTATTGTTGACAGAGAATACCTAGTGTAAGGTGTGCTCTAAAGCTGTAAACAGTAGTTGACTGTACTGTAGCTATTGTTGACAGAGAACACCTAGTGTAAGATGAGCTCTGAAGATGTAAACAGTAGTTGACTGTACTGTAGCTATTGTTGACAGAGAACACCTAGTGTAAGGTGTAGTCTGAAGCTGTAAACAGTGGTTGACTGTACTGTAGCTACTGTTGACAGAGAACACCTAGTGTAAGGTGTAGTCTGAAGCTGTAAACAGTGGTTGACTGTACTGTAGCTATTGTTGACAGAGAACACCCAGTGTAAGGTGTGCTCTGAAGCTGTAAACAGTGGTTGACTGTACTGTAACTACTGTTGACAGAGAACACCTAGAGTAAGGTGTGCTCTGAAGCTGTAAACAGTGGTTGCGTTTACTGTAGCTACTGTTGACAGAGAACACCAGAGTAAGGTGTGCTCTGAAGCTGTAAACAGTGGTTGACTGTACTGTAACTATTGATAGTTTGTCCCGCTGAATGATGGTGTGTGGAAAAAAGGCTATATTTGTAGACAACGAAAGTCAAAGGACGATAACTGTGTTCCTGGACCTAATATGTATCATTCAACATTTCTCTGTACCATTTCTATTTCTGTGTAGCATTTTTGTGTGAGGGTTCCATGAACTGCAGCTGTATTCAAGTTTATGTCTTAATATTGCTTGGCAGGCTCTGGACTTGATGTTGGTGTTGAATATTTTCAGTTTCCTTTTAAAAAATTCAAAGGATTTATTTCCCTATTGATATAACATTGTAAGTTCCATTTTAGATTTGATTGTAAAACACCAAGATATTTAGCAGTTCAATGTATTATCATTGCTGTACAAACCAATATTACAGCGATACACTGAACAGTATTTATCATGGCTTAGTGTAGGTTTTTTTTATTACATAGAATGCTGGTATTTGTCTGCACATTAAATTTTAAAAAACAAAATTCAGATGTAAAGTTACACTTTTTTATCAAGACAAATCAGCAAAAACTTTGTAAAAGTTTTATTTTGGAACAGAAACAGAACAAATAAGATCTTACAAGGTCTATCCAAATTATTTTTGCAAAGAATTCTGCTCATGCCGGTTCTAGGGGACGTCTTAAACTTGTAGTGAGGTGAAATTTTTTTTGCTCTGTGTTGAAGGCCTCAATGTGACTTTTAGATGATGAACAGCAATTAAAGTGCTGTTCCTTTGCTTTTTTTTGTGTGTTTTTTTTTGCTGTACATGTACTGATTTTGTGACATGGATGGATACCCCATAATGGCATATATCCTTTGTTTTTCTATTTTACCAGAATGGTTCCTCCAGTTTGGTATCTGAGTGGTTTCAGTAATATTCTCTGTAAGATAAAGTTGGGTACTAATGCCACTGGCAATACTTCGGTTATCCTGGCAACAACAGAACTCCACTAAAACAATAACAAACAAAAAATTACATCTCATAAACTTTATCAACCTGTTATACTGTCAAGGCCAAAAAAAAAATTAAAATTGTTTGGTGTTGCCTATATATACCAACCTAAAAAGCAGCCTACCCGGAAAAATTTCTGACACAAATTGTTTTAAATTTTTTTTCATAGTTTTTTTCATGCTCCAACTTGTTTTCTTGTCTAAAACTTGTAACTGATGTTGTTGGCCAAAAAAAAATAAAATCCCCACCTACATACCCAACCCTACGAGATGGGTAGGCAACATCAAACAAAGAATTTGATAAGGGTGGCCCAAAGTATTCTTATTTGTAATTTACCATTTAATGGTTATTCAAAAGATGAAAGGAGTAGGCCCAGTAAGACCCCTTTTTGGCCCCAAAACATAGAGTTTATACAAAGTTGTTAAACATGTTTTAGCTATTTATTGGAAAGTAAAATACTTTTGTTACATAAATATGGGCTGTTTTTGACGATACAATGGACATGAATCCGGTACTAGCATCATTATTTCATGCAAACATACTGAAATCTTCACAATTTTAGCATTTGTGCTAATTTCAAGATGTTTTTTTGTCTAAAATGGAAGTGGCTGCACTTGTGTTCAGTCTTAATATTTAAATATATGTTGTATTTAATGGTAATACTTTATGCTTATCATAAATAGCAAGTTGATAAAACATTTAATAAATATAACAGTGAAATTTTTATTCCATTGTGTTATTAAGTTAAGATTAATGGTAACATTGACTTGTACTTATTTAGAAACTTACTGTTAAGTTGTCCAAGTATTTCTGTGTATGAACAAATAAGAGATCTTGTGATGAGGCTTCCTTTGGTGTTACAACATCTGCCTCTGATAACATGCCTGCCTCTGTAATATGGATTAACTAGTTTATTGTGAGAATAGACAGTTACAAAACTTTAATAAATAACAAGCATTCTGTGAGTATTGCCTGGCAATACATAGTCCCCTATGGGTTAAAAATTCATTATACTGGAACAAAATGCTAACTTGATCTATAACTTGTCATGGTGTAAACTATATAACAAATATTAAGTCAATATCTTCAAGCATGACGAAAAAAAAAGGTGGAAAATTTATTATTTGAGTGAATTTTCTAAGTCCAAGGACCATAACTCTGTACAAAATCATCAGACTGGAACAAAATTCGAACATGATCTGTAACTTATCATGATAAAACTATATACCAATTATCAAATCAAGATCTTTAAGCATGACAAAAAAAAGAGAGGAAAACTGATTATTTGAGTGAATTTTCTAAGTCCAAGGACCATAACTCTGCACAAACTCATTAGACCGGACCAAAATTTAAACTTGATTTGTAACTTGTCATGATAAAACTATATACCAATCATCAAATCAATATCTTCAAGCATGACAAAAAAAAAGTGTGGAAAACTGATTATTTGAGTGAATTTTCTAAGTTCAAGGACCATAACTCTGCACAAAATCATCAGACCGGAACAAAATATGAACTTGATCTGTAACTTGTCATGATAAAACAATACACCAAATATCAAATCAATATAGCACAAAGAAAAAAAGTATGGTAAACTGATTTGCCGGACAGCTGACAGATGGACAGACAGACAGACAGACTGAGTGCAAACCTAAAGTCCCCTTCGAATTCGTCAGTAGGGGACTAAAAAGACATAAACTTATGGTCATTCTTGTCATACATTCTGTAAATCTGATGGAAGGTGGTAATTAAATTGTTCCTGACATTCTGATCTTTGTACACATCATAATTTTTATTTTTGTATATCATAAGTTTGTGAACACATGCTGAAAACTGTAATTTGTCTCTAAATGTTAATGGTATTTGTTTTGAAAAAAATGGAAAAAAATTTACCTTTCAACATCTGAAAAACTCTTCCCCATTTCCCAGCATCAAATGGGTGAAGATTCTGCATTCCAAAAGCATTTATGTTGTACTGATCAGTGTATACAATCGGCCATTGTGTAGGTTTTATTGGAACATATAATTCAGTGGCATGCAGCGTTCTGTGAATAAAAAATATCAACATTATCAGAGTCAAATCAAGGATAGTTTATAAAAAGTTACTTAAGGACGTTCGCTACTCTTGTTTTTGACATTTTGTCAGATATTCGGAATATCCTCTAGTTTTATCCATGTATTGCCAATAAAAATTTTGCCCACTAACCCCTACTTTCCCTTTCATATTTTTAATACATATAGTTTAACGAGCAATTTTTAAATTTTTCCATAAATTCCTTGTTTTTTTCATAGCTTTTGAAAGAAAAAAGGTGCCAATGTTAAATGTAAGAAAAATCTAGAGAGAATCATTTCCCACCAAATTTTCAAATGATTATATCTCAAAAACAAGGTCAAAGACCTTTCATTTTTTTCTACTTTTTAAGTTCCCTTATTTATATACTATCAATTCATAAGAATTTTTTACAAAGCTTGTTTTTTTTAAAGAGGCGCGAACATCCTTAAAGCATATACACAATGACAAAGGGTCAACCTAAAACACATTTACAAGTTTATTGCATTTACAAAGACTATATCTCATTGGCAATCATACCACACTTCTTATTTTTATACTACTATTTTTTTATTATGAATGAGAAACTGTATTTTACTTTCTCTCTAACAAAAAATGTTATTCTAATGTTTTTATTTAATAATAGGGTACTTTTAGTTTAAATAAAAGGAATGACTCTTTTGTATCTATGGTCATTCAGATACAAGCACCACTTTAGCTTGGACCATAGAAAAAAGGCTTGTTCACGGTGTCCAAAGTTTGTATCATTGGTGATGTAAAGTACACATGCACTTAAGTCACACAGTTAATCTTATTTATATTTATTTCTTTGTCTGTTATGTGTTGTTGTATCAAAATACATTCTTTGGATGCTTGCCAATATCTTTTTTTCATTGATAAACTTCCATTTGAATGCATTTGATGGATTAATAATAATAATAATAATAATAATTCTTTATTTAAAGAGGGTTACACAGTTAGCTATAAAACTAATCTTCCCTGAGGCCCTCGTGAAATACAATGAAATATAACAAACAATTACAAAATATCAAACAAACACACATATATGAAAAAATGAAATAAAAAATTGTTATGAAATATACAATTTTCAAAACAGGTAAAAATTACAAATTCATATAGCAATGTATAGTATTGGCATCATTCAAATTACCTCAACAATATCTTAAGTTTGAGTAAGTGTGTGAAAAATTATTATACATATAAAAATACACAGCTTCTTAAATTAATATTCCAACAAGTAATTTTTTAAATCTTTTTTGAATGAGCTTGTACTTGAGGTTGATTTTTTCAGGGATGTTGGTAAGTTATTCCATAAAATAGATCCTGAATATACAAAAGATTTCTTATACAGCTCTGTTTTGGAATTTGGAACTTGTAAATTTTTGCAAGACGCATTCCTCAAACAATATTAGTTTATTTCTGGCATTTTTTAAAATTTTTCAGTGAGATATACAGGGGCTTCGTTCTTAAGGCATTTCTGCATCAAAACAGATTTGTGGTATGAGATTCTGTTCTCTACTGTCATCCACCCAAGCTGTTTAAACAGTGGAGCTGATGATGAAAGTGGATCAGCATCTAAAATAAGTCTTGCAGCCCTTTTCTGCAATTTTATTATTCTGACTAGCTCATTTTTAGCACAACCACTCCAAATAATACAACAATAATCTATCAGTGGGAGAATATAGCCATTATAAAACAATTTTCTTGAATCAATATTTAGAAATTTCTTGATTTTAGAGAGTAAATGAAGTCTGGATGATATTGATGAACATAAGTAATTAACATGGCCTGTCCAGGACAGATTAGAGTCAATTCTAACACCTAAAAGTTTTTCAATTGATGATTTTTGAAGAATATTATTCTCAATAGTTAGAACTGGTTCTGCTTGATTTAAACGCAGCCTTTGTCTTGTACCTATAACCATACATTTAGTCTTATCTGAATTTATGAACATGTTATTTTTATGACACCATTTTTCAACACATTGGAGATCATCTTGTACTTTTAATTGCATATCAGCAATACTCTTTCCTGATGTATGCATAGTTGTGTCATCAGCATACAAGTCTGTATGGCAGTTTTTGATATGTAATGGAAGGTCATTTATGTACAAAACAAACAAAATGGGACCAAGTATTGAGCCCTGTGGAACACCAAAATTTATAAACTTTTTGTCAGAAAATTGATTATTTATATGGACTTGCTGTGTTCTTTCACTCAAATATGATTTAAAAAAATCAACAGTATCTTCATGGAAGCCATAAATTTTAAGTTTTTTACATAAAATTTCATGATCAACAACATCAAAAGCTTTCTTAAAATCCAGGAGGACTACCAAATTGATATTTCCATTATTCATTTCATGTAGCCATTTATCAATGATATTAATTAGAGCAGTTTGACATGAATGGTTAGGTCTAAAACCAGACTGGGAAGGGTGTAAAATTTGAAACTTTGTCAAATAATTATACAGATGTTTAGATACATGTCTCTCTATTAATTTTGATAATGTTGGCAAAACAGATACTGGTCTGTAATTGCCAGCTACGTTTTTTTCACCAGATTTGAAAATTGGAGCTACCTTGGCATTTTTTAAAACAGATGGATAAATACCAGTATCAATCATTCGATTAAAAATGTATGTTAAGGAAGATGCTATGAAAGGAGCACTCAGTTTTAAAATTTTTGGACCTATATTGTCAAAATTGATGATTAACATCCGGTGGAAAACATGCAAACATATCAGGAAAATTCACAACGTAACAGCTTGTCCCAAAGAAGACCTGTTACCCCACCCAAGCACATTATTCTGACTCCAAGTCCACAAACATTTGACCTTACTCCTAAATGACAGGTGCTTAGCTGAGAGGCAGGAAATACCAATTCTAAAGTGTTTGGTTTGACTAAGCTATAGATCTAACCCAAGATCACCAGCACTCAGTTGAGCATGCTACAACAGAACCACAAATATAACAAAAGCCTAAATGCAGTTGATTAAAATTTCTGGCTCTCATAGATCGCACTAAAATGTATGACTGTCTATCAAAGTATCAAACTGTTCTGCATAACAAAGTATAAAACTGTTATGTTTTTGCATTGAACTCTTATATATATGCTTCATATGAGAATTTTATTTTTAAAATTTAGTAATTCTTTTAAGGTTTATCATAACATAGACAAACATGACTGTATTCACACCTCATAAACTACTATGAGTAAAGACTAACATGTGCAGTTGGAAAAGTTTTAAGGCCTGGCATCCACTAGATATATAAACTTTAAGTGCATTTTGTGTTTCAGAAAGATAAAATCTTTTTGGGATTTTGATAGGTATGTTCTCCATTCCTGCTGTTGGTGTAAAAATAAACACAAACACCTGAATTACATTTGATACTGTCCACTCAGTTACACCTTTTAACTCATCTCTTGTTGTGTAGATATCTATTGTCCTTCTATTGTCCATGCCAATCAAGGACAATCAATACAATACAATACAGTTGTTACCTGAGATAGAGCATCTCAAAGATTTAACCCAACTTAGGTTTATTTTTACACCTTCTGCAGGAACAGAAAAAATGCCTTTCTGTTGTGATGCTTCAAAATTACAGGAAACTGTTAGTGTTGGGTTTAAGGATACCAGTTGGGACATGATCTGATAAAATATTGATACCAGTATATACATTATAATTCCCAGGTGCCAGTCATAACATTATATATCTATATCCTTCGTATAAACAAGTGTGCCTTTATTGACGAAGTTATATCAGCAGTATGCTTCTAACGAATATTAAACAAGAATGTGTCCATAGTACATGGATGCCCCTCTCGCACTATCATTTTCTATGTTCAGTGGACCGTGAAATTGGGGTCAATACTCTAATTTGGCATTAAAATTGGAAAGATCATATCATAGGGAACATGTGTACTAAGTTTCAAGTTGATTGGACTTCAGCTTCATCAAAAACTACCTTGACCAAAAACTTTAACCTGAAGCGGGACAGACAGACGGACGGACGGACAGACCAGAAAACATAATGCCCCTACTACGAATGCCCCTACTACTATCTTAGTATCGTAGTAGTGGCATAAAAACTCGAGTTGTAATTATTTACTGAAAGTAGGAAAAGATGAACACACAATGTACAGGAAATGAAAGTCGATCTACTTTCACTTTCACTAATCTGAAATAATGTCAAACCATATTACCTTGATGCGGCTGCTGCAGATGCTGCCATCACTGTAAAAGTTGATTTAACACTTAATCTATCGGATTTTTCTATTGATGATGCAGACAGTATCACTGCAAATCTAAATAATGTAGATCGGATCTTCAGTAATGTCATCTCATCCTTAAAAACAGAATAACCAGTAATTTCCGAATGCAATTTTTCCTTCGATACATTTCGGATCACATTCAGTGTTTGGGGTTAAACACGGCGGGATAAAAAGTTTGATTGATCGATTGTTGTTTTTAGCTTAACCAGAGACATATATACACATATGTGTGTATATATGTCTCTGGCTTAACAAATAGTTCATGGATAAAGTTACCATGATACATTATAATAAATTTGTCCTGACACACACATATATATATATATATATATATATAAAGTGCCTAGAAAATCAACCTAACAATGTTAGAGTAGATTTGATTCTTTACTTCCTCCATATATATATATATATATATATATATATATATATATATATATATAGAAGTCTATAAAAAGGACCAACCAGCAAATTTACTATGTACCGGATCGTCTAGAATAGACGATACTGTGCAGATAAGGAAAAAAATTATATAAGTCTAGAGATTTGCACAACGATATATATATGATTAAAAAAGATCAAAAAAGTTGCCCGGTTTGCATAGTTAAATGGGAAACTAGCTGCGACTCTTTTCACAAAAATCTTACGATTAAAATCTGGGACTGTTATACTAACAGTATAAGAAAAACACAAATCAAACAGGTAAAATTAATGCACTCAAAAAAAAAACGAAGTGTATGAAATTGAGTTCAAAACAAAAACTTACTCAACTATTTGAATTATGTATTACCATCAACGAAACCTGTATTGAGAATGTCCATTAATTCTTTCTATTTACTTGGAATTGACAGTACAGGTATTAGTATAATAGTCCCAGTTAAAATTGATCTTAAGTTATACTGAAATGTGTATGACTTGCGAGTAATTTTACTGTTAAGATTTTTTGTGAAAAGAGCCGCTGGTTCTTCAACCTGGCCGGTTCTTCAACGCAGCGAGAAAATCCCGAACCTTGAGGCTGGCTTCAGCTGGCCCCTAAACAATAATATATATTAGTTCAGCGAAATGGACGCCACACTAAATTCCGAAACATATAAATGAACCAAAATAATATTAAAAAAAACACACACACAAGACTATCAACGGCTAGAGGATCGATCCTGACTTAGGACAGGCACACAAATGTTTTGTGAGATCTCAACCCTCGATCCCGCTATACCTCTATCCAATGTGGAATAAACAAACAGCAATACGCACAGTAAAACTCAGTTTAGAACTGAGAAGTCCGAGTCCGATGTTAGAATAAGTAACAGAAGAAACTAAGCAAAATGACAATGATTAACATAAATTAACAATTAGAGGTCTACTAGCAGTTACTGACATGCCAGCTCCAGAACTGATCAAAACAATATTTAAAAGAAATGGACATCCGGCTCGAGATCAATCGGGACTCCCGCGGAGCGATAATTCATGTCTATTTCGGTCGGAAGATGATAAATAAAACAAAGGATCACATACAGAAGGTCCATTTCCTGTTATATTTATCGGTCATCTAAATTAACAGGGCCACCTTCCTTAAGAAGATATAAAAGAGGATAAAAACCAAGACAAGTAGAAACTATACTCTTCCGTGTAATAGGGAATCCCTTAGGTATCATTATAATGCCTTTTCGACCTATGTTTGCAATAAACTTTTAATAAAAAGTCATATCAAAATAGACCTCGTTCGTCAAATTTTCGAGTTTCATCCGGATTACAAAACAAAAAATACAGTGTCCTGATTTTTTTCTAAAGACTCGACAACCATGAAAGACAAAAAAAAAGTTGATATCATTTAGAAGCTGCAACCTTATTCTAGAAATTGATCTCTTTTTTATGTTTCTGGTATAATTTCTGAACTTTCTACGATTTTCCAAAATTTCAGTTTGACATTTCATTATTCTGTCAAAACGTGTCTTTCAATCTGGCAGTGTAGTACAAATTTTAAAATGTTGAACAGTAGAAAAGAACAAAGTGTCAATATGAGATATCATTTTAAAGAAGGAATATTTTGCTACAATTTCTTGTAAATTACGAATGTTAAATGTCATTGGTATATCGTAAATGATTTTCTTTCGAAACAAGCTGAAAATTTTAAGTAGTGCGTAAAAAAATACACACACGCTTTATTTAAAGGTACATAACTACTTGAACTAGATATGGAAATGAAATACAATTCAAAAGCTTAACCTTTGTTCTACAACATCGTCTTGGTTTTATGAAAATGGTAATAAAAATGAATATTCTATGATTTTTGGTCACTCAAGTTCCATACCGAAGAAGTCTGAAAGTACAGACAAAATATATAAATATAATAGACTTTCCCTTTGGAATTCAAGGTTTTTTATTTTATTCACGATTTAATTCATTTATACTTTAAATACACAATTCTTTGATTAAACTATCGAAAGATTGTCTTCGTCATATGCATAATATATAAATAATACATAGCTGAGAGGGTGATAGAGCAGATTGTTACCCCGAGATAACATTGTCAACCGAGGCGAAGCCAAGATTGACAATGTTTTTTCGAGGGGTACTTATCTGCTCTATCACCTTCTCAGCTATGTGTTATTCAATTTACCATACTGATTGTTTTATCATTATTGTCTTCAAATTTTAAATTGAAAGTACTTATGACGTCATGTGCATATAATTATAACAACGTTACAGTTATTAGAAATCAATAAAAGTGAAGCAAGGTGTATCTTTTATTTTGACAATATATATATAAATGAAAAAGTTCTGAGGCCAAAAAGTAGAACTTGAGCATCATCTTTACAAATCTTGGTGTAAGTTCTATTGATTGTGCTGTGAATTATCAATTTTTGATTGGTCTGCACGAGAGGATGATATTAAAAAAATTGTCTCCAGCTGAGCCATGGGATAGAGTAAATTATCTCCCTCGTATATTAGCCAATCAAATGCTGGCATTTAAACGTGAAGTATAATAAATATGTAGGACTCTAAAGTGCGATGGTACTCTAAAGTGCGATGGTCACGCTAAAGTGCGATGGTCTACGCTAAAGTACGATGGTGTCTCACGCTTAAGTGCGATGGTTGTTTGTTTTCTAAACTACGATGGTATATCACGATAAAGTGCGATGAACCAATAGGGTAAGGTTCGAGGGCTTAAAACGTTAAAGTATATTGATATTAAAAAAATAGTATTTTTGCAAAAGCTAGTATGCTAAGGTATAACATATGTGATAGGCTTTATAATTTACTGGTAGGCTTAAGTGATTGTTTCTAAATTAAGAAGACCGACCACGTAATAATTGCTAAAAAGGTACTTTAGGTGTCACAAAAAATACTATATTTCCTGTAAATGAATTTTTAACAATTCGGGCTTATTAAATATTTGGATAATTTGCGTAGCTTGCCGTTCAATCAGTCTTTCACTAATGTGCGTATATCATTTTGTATCTATATGATCCTATATAGTAAAATGGTCGACTGCAGGATACAAGTCCTGCATCCAGCACCCGAAAAAAACCTCATTTGCTTCAGCCGACAAAGCACGGTTAGGTTTAAATTAATTAAGTCATGGATATTTGGTTTAAAAGTTGTTAATCAAATATTCTTAATTTATCTTTCAGCATGTTCATTTTTGGTTTGTATAAACGACTGTCAACGTCATAATCCAACTACGTTTCTTACGTCTTTACTTTCGCGGACCATCGGACTTTAGCATATGGAGGCATCACACTTTAGCGCAGACCATCGCACTTTAGCGTGACCATCGTACTTTAGCGTCCCCATCGCACTTTAGAGTCCTACAAATATATTTCACTTTTTTGGTCTTTTGAAAAATGTTATTTGTGCTGTATTTAGACCCCTCTACCAAGAAATTTGTTTTGCATGCACACGTATAAAAATTGCGGTTTTTATCCAACGCAATCATAGGTTTTAACATTGTTTTCAATTTAGACTTGTATTATATATATATGTTTATATAAAACACCGTGGCTTCATTTTCTGTGGCAAAATTAATACAGACCGTTAATATAATCAATGTCCTATATAAAAATAAGGAGATTGGTATGACCCCTGTTATGATTATCAATGAGACAACTATATCCATCAGAGTTCAAGTGACGAAGATACAAGCAATTATAGGTCATCGTACGGCCTTCAATAAGAGAACACCCTATACCGCAATGTCAGCTATAAGCCAACAATGAAACTTTGAACGTGAATTAATTCAAACGACAAAACCAAATGCCTTATTTATAACAATACAATTTACGAAAAAAACAAATATGAAAGACATGATATATGAAGCTCAACCCTCCCCTAACCTGGGACAGTAGTGACCTTGTGCAAAGCCAAACTATAAGTAAATTATCCACAAGATGTAGGATCATGGGTACTTTTTTCCGAACAAAACCAATTGTTAGTACCGATAAAAAACATATTTAAAGAGTTTACTATGGTGATAAATTGATAACCTTTAAAGAATAGGTATATTCAAACGATTAATGAGTTTACTTGGATCGTATCTAAATTCACGGGCTCTAAAAAACAACATCGACATCCGTAAAAAGTAGGATATGTTTATTTTCAAAAATGTTGAATCTGCATACTGGATCGGACTGGCCAGAAATTTGGACTTTCGCTGAAAAAAAGAGGGGAAAACATTAATAACGATGAAAGTTTATCTTTTCGACCATTTATTGATATAATTAATTACTGTAAATTCAGAAATTATTGCGTGCATTTATTATTGCTATTTTTCAAGAATGAACAAAAATGCGAGTTTAATTATTGCGATTTTAGGAAAAGCTTTGTACAGATATGCATAACAGATATCAGAATGCGAGTTTTTATTTTTGCAATACTCAAGGAGTCGCATTATTCGCATTAATAAAAACCTCGCAATAATTTCTGAATTTACATGTACCGATAAAAAACAAATTTAAAGAGTTTACTACGGTGATAAATTGACAACATTTAAAGAATAGGTATATTCAAACGATTAATGAGTTTACTTGGGTCGTATCTAAATTCACGGGCTCTAGAAAACAACATCGCCGTAAAAATTAGGATATGTTTATTTTCAAAATATTGACTCTGCAAACTGGATCGGACTGGGCAGAGATTTGAACTTTCGATGAAAAAAAGAGGGGAAAACATTAATAACCATGAAAGTTTATCTTTTTGACCATTTATTGACATAATTAATTACATGTATGTGCTTAAAAATAATATATCATAAACATAAAATGCCTTTGTAATTAGAAAACTAGACGAAATTATTTTTAATTATACAAAGCCGTTTAATGCCTTAAGTTGAACCAATTCATTCAGTAGAAACTTGACTGCTATTGAAAAGAATATTGATATTGAATTAATGACTGTAAAACACAAATAACCTTCCATAAATGATGAAAATATTTCATTAATACTCTTTATGATGAAATAAATAACTTAACTGAAACGGATAAAGAATTTCTATACAAACCCCGTAAAACAGTTCAGTCCTAGATGCATTTCGAAAATCTGATAGATATAGTGTGATTTTATATAACATAAGGAGATATGGTATGATTGCCAATGAGACAACTATCCACCAGAGGATGATTCATATAACATGAGGAGATAATGTATGAATGCCAATGAGACAACTATCAACCAGAGGATGATTCATATAGCATGAGGAGATGAGGTATGAATACCAATGAGACAACTATCCACCAGAGGATGATTCATATAACATGAGGAGATGATGTATGAATGCCAATGAGACAACTATCCACCAGAGGATGATTCATATAACATGAGGAGATGATGTATGAATGCCAATGAGACAACTATCAACCAGAGGATGATTCATATATATATAGCATAAGGAGATGAGGTATGAATGCCAATGAGACAACTATCCACCAGAGGATGATTCATATAACATGAGGAGATGATGTATGAATGCCAATGAGACAACTATCAACCAGAGGATGATTCATATAGCATGAGGAGATGAGGTATGAATACCAATGAGACAACTATCCACCAGAGGATGATTCATATAGCATGAGGAGATGAGGTATGAATACCAATGAGACAACTATCCACCAGAGGATGATTCATATAACATGAGGAGATGAGGTATGAATGCCAATGAGACAACTATCCACCAGAGGATGATTCATATAGCATAAGGAGATGAGGTATGAATGCCAATGAGACAACTATCAACCAGAGGATAATTCATATAGCATAAGGAGATGAGGTATGAATGCCAATGAGACAACTATCAACCAGAGGATGGTTCATATAGCATAAGGAGATGAGGTATGAATGCCAATGAGACAACTATCAACCAGAGGATGATTCATATAGCATAAGGAGATGATGTATGAATGCCAATGAGACAACTATCCACCAGAGGATGATTCATATAGCATAAGGAGATGAGGTATGAATGCCAATGAGACAACTATCCAGCAGATTATGACTTATATAACATGAGGAGATGAGGTATGAATGCCAATGAGACAACTATCCACCAGAGGACGATTTATATAGCATAAGGAGATGAGGTATGAATGCCAATGAGACAACTATCCACCAGAGGATGATTCATATAGCATAAGGAGATGAGGTATGAATGCCAATGAGACAACTATCCAGCAGATTATGACTTATATAACATGAGGAGATGAGGTATGAATGCCAATGAGACAACTATCCACCAGAGGACGATTTATATAGCATAAGGAGATGAGGTATGAATGCCAATGAGACAACTATCCACCAGAGGATGATTCATATAGCATAAGGAGATGAGGTATGAATGCCAATGAGACAACTATCCAGCAGATTATGACTTATATAACATGAGGAGATGAGGTATGAATGCCAATGAGACAACTATCCACCAGAGGACGATTTATATAGCATAAGGAGATGAGGTATGAATGCCAATGAGACAACTATCCAGCAGATTATGACTTATATAACATGAGGAGATGAAGTATGAATGCCAATGAGACAACTATCCACCAGAGGACGATTTATATAGCATAAGGAGATGAGGTATGAATGCCAATGAGACAACTTTCCACAACAGTATGACATATATTTTTATACCAAACGTCAGTTAGTTGCATTTTAACTATATTGTATGCTTATGACTATAGTAGGTATTGTAATAATGAATCAATGTGGTATGTATCTATGCTAATCAATATTTATTTTCCATTTATCTGTATGCTCCTTATGCTCCTAGTTGCATTCATCTCACACAGCGACATATAATACTATCTTGTCTCTGTCTCACATCAATATAGATACTATATATTTTTTTACAAAATTTAAAGTATAAATTGACTGTGACCTGCCAATAGAGACTTGGAGTTTTACAAAGATCCTTGGAATGAATATACAGCATTAAGGAGCTTCTCGGAATAGTTGTTAAAGATGAAAAAAATAAATAGTCCTGTAAATGACCAAGGGTTGGTAAAGGCGGTACTGTTAATCACTGATTGCCTGTAAAGATCCGGCTCAGGTATGCAACTATTTTCTAGGTTGTTTGATATCTATAAGTTATGATATATAAAAACACCAGAATTACGTTCTCATAGGAAAATGTCAGAAATGAATAGAATAAGATTTCAAAGCATGAATCATTATGTCAATTCCAAGTTAATAGAAAGAATGGACATTCTCAATACAGGTTTCGTTGATGGTAATAAATAATTCTGATAGTTGAGTAAGTTTTTGTTTTGAACTCAATTTCATACACTTTGTTTTTTTTTAGTGCATTAATTTTACATGTTACATTTGTGTTTTTCTTGGTTATTTTGATTCAGACCTGATTTCTAAAAACAATTCTTGGTAAAAAATTGCAGCCAGTTGTTGTTTATCTTCAACGCTTTGTTAGTTTATTTCTATCTTGGTCATTTCTCAGGTTTACTTTATCAAACCATATTACTATCGGTGACGCCGGTCTTTGACTTGCATAGTGACGTTACCTAATCTACATGGACACGGAGAGCATGGACGTGAACGTCGAACAGTAACTGCTGCGATGAATTCCCTTACTTTTTCTATTGACACCAGGTTTAATCCGTCGGCAACGAATGTATTTTCTGATCTCAGAAGAGCCGGACAGTTATGCGATGCCGTTATCAAAGTTGGAAACCACGAGTACCCGATTCACAGAGCAATTATGTCTGCATGTAGTCCCTATTTCAGAGCTTTGTTCACAGATTCATTGTTTCATACAGATAGAAGAGAGGTGGTTATTCCGGGAGTTTCAGCCGAAATCATGGAAATGATAATAGATTATGCATATACCAGGGACGTTAATATAACAGCTGACAACGTAGAACAAATTTTACCCGCTGCAGACCAGTTTCATGTCGCAGGATTAATTAAAGCTTGTTGTGATTTTCTTTACAATGAAATTTCTCCTGAAAATTGCATTGGAATACGAAAATTTGCCCGTTTTTATTTTTGCCATAATTTAGAAAGGAGCGCATTCAATTATATTATGAATAAATTTGGAGAAGTTTATTCCAAAAGCAATGAATTTCTACAGTTAGACATCGAAGAGGTCTGTGACTTACTTAGCTCAGACCAATTAAATGTAAAAAATGAAGAAATAGTTTTTGATGCTGTTCTCAGATGGATAGATTATGAACCTGAATATCGTAAGGTTCATATTGCCCGTCTATTACGCACGATCCGTTTAGGTTTGCTTACAACTCAGTATTTTGTGGAAAAAGTTAAGTCACATCCGTATGTCAAAGAAAATGACCAATGTAAACCAATAGTTATCGAAACATTAAAATTCCTGTATGATTTAGATATGGACGAGGAGAAAGATGTTGATTTAAATAACCCATTAGCAAAACCAAGGGTTCCACATGAAGTTTTGTTCGTTATTGGAGGATGGAGCGGAGGATCTCCTACAAATATATTAGAAACATATGATACACGTGCTGACAGATGGGTAGTATGTGAAGCTGTAGACCAAGGTAAGAAATATATGATATGCTCACCTGACAGATAGGTAGTATGTGAATCTATAGACGACGATAGGAAACAAATGATACACGTACTGACAGATGGGTAGTATGTGAAACTGTTTTCCAAGTTTAAAAACATGATACACGCACTGAAAGATGGGTAGTATGTGAAGCTGTTGACCAAGGTAAGAAACGTATGATACACGTACTGACAGATGGGTAGTATGTGAAGCTACTTCAAAGTTTAAAAACATGATACAAGCACTGAAAGATGGGTAGTATGTGAATCTGTTGACCAATGTTAGAAACGTATGATACACGCACTGACAGATGCATGGTAGTATGTGAAGAAGTATTTGAAGGGGAAAAATGCAAAACATAAGTATTTAGGCATTTGTACCTCATTTGCTTTCACATTTTTGGGTTTCTAATGGTAATTGAATATAGAAAAGCGCTTTTGACATGTTTGACACACCAATTTTATAAAGTCTTACTTATTTTTTTTTTCAAAACCAGTTTCATATAAAAACGTCTTCAAAGCATATGTCTTACAGCAAAACTTTACATTAAAGGTCCTAGAGCATACCATGGAACAGCTACAATAGGCCATGAAATCTATGTTATAGGCGGGTTCGATGGTGTGGAGTATTTTAACAGCGTTAGATGTTTTAAACCTATCTACAAAGAATGGTCCGAAGTTGCTCCTATGAATGCAAAACGGTATTTATATAACTTTATGATAAGTTCTTGATTTTTCTTAGCTCTATCAATACAAGATATGTTCACAAGTCCTCCTTTTCGTTTGTAACATAAACATAGCCTGGACTTGCGCATGGCGTGAATCATGGTGAAATGATGGTACGTGCTTAGTTCTTTAAAAAACGAGGCCTACATGTAATAGTTTCCTTTGATCGACCAGCAAATCATTACACTATTATGGCAAACCGTTTTAATATTTATACAATTTCAATCTTTTAAAGTTGATAAGATATTTTATAAAGTATATAGTATATTTTGTATTCTTTATGAGATATCTTATTTAATTTAAAGGAAATAAGATACCTTATTAACTTTATAAGAAATATTTTGAACTTAATTATATATCTTATATAGTTTATTAGATATATTATTAACTTCATAGGATATATTTTAAGTTATACAAGATATCTTAATTAATGTATTAGATATCTTCTAACCTATGTAAGATACATTTTTAAAGTAACACACAAGTAAATAAATACAACAATGAACGATCCAACCGAAATTACGCGGCAGTAAATATATCATCATCTCGATCTATATGGATGGCCAATTTTTTCCCAACACTGAAAGGATACTCTATTATAATTCCTAAATATATCTTATATAGTTTATAAGAAATTCTATGTAGATTATAAGATATTTTATCAAGTTTAAAAGATATCTTATTAAATTTATACGATATCTTAATAAGTTTATAAGATATCTTATTAAGTTTGTAAGATATTTTATTAAGTTTATATGATATTTTATTAAGTTTATAAGATATCTTATTAAGTTTGTAAGATATCTTATTAAGTTTGTAAGATATTTTATTAAGTTTGTAAGATATCTTATTAAGTTTGTAAGATATCTTATTAAGTTTATAGGATATTTTATTAAGTTTGTAAGATATTTTATTAAGTTTATATGATATTTTATTAAGTTTATATGATATCCTTGAAATAAAATGATATATAACATGTCTTAAACTGTGTATCAGATATCTTTTACAATAGACAAGATATTTTTTTAACTTAATTAGATATATTATAACCTTAATAAGATATCTAATAAACTAAATGCTATATTTTTTTAAATTATTCAATAAGATATCTTATCAAATTTATTAGATATCTTAAATACTATATATATATGTGATATCTCATTTATGAGTTATCTTATCAAATTTATATGATATCTTGAAAACGGAATTTAAACTTTATAAGATATTTTATATTATTCACATTTAATAAGATATCTTTTAGATTATGAGATTTCTCATTAAGTATATAACGTCAGGTCGAACTGATGGCGTTAAATCATATGCTCTGTGTGGTGAGAGAGTTAACAAACCATTGTATTTAACAACTCTTTGAGAGCTCCGTATGTGGCATGTTGCAAGGCAGCATTTCTGTCTCTATCCAACGTACATTCATTTTCCAGTGGTGGTCCAAATCTATCTCCCCCACCCGTCATCTTTCGACTTGATTTGTATTCTTACCTGTTGTATTAATTGTTAATTTTGAATATGCATGAAATATTTGCCTCCGGACGAAGCGAACACTTTCCTTTCTTATTTAATTATATAAGATATTTATGAAGTGTGTAAGATACCTCATTAACTTTTGTAGGCATATTTTATTTCAATCAGGTATCTGTACGGTTTGGGTTAGGAAACTAGCCAAGGATATCTATATCTAAAAAATAAATCGCATATCTATAAGTCCTTATATATAGGCACGTAATATATTTCTGAAGAAGGTAACAATATAACATTGACTAGTTAATAATACAAATAGAAATAATAGTAATCAATCTATTTTAGCAGCTCAGCTAATTGATACAAAAATTAGAGCTTTAATATATGCATTGATTAATATGGCTTAAAAACCAGTCCCGTGTCTCAAAATAATGAATGTTTGGCAGCAATGTAATGATCGCAGCAAACGGACCGAAAAAATACAAATCGCATCGGAACAGTCGATATAGTGAAAGATTACGAATAAAAACAAGAACCGCGATTTTTGATGTTATTCTTAGTAATGAGATGATGTCCGCTGATTGTTTGTGTTGTTGGGATGCTGTCTCGTTGATATTCAACATCTCCTTCTATTCAGAGAATGCAGTAACATTCCTTGTCGTGTAATTATAAAAATAAGGAGATGTGGTATGATTGCCAATGAGACAACTATCCACCGGAGTTCAAAAGAAGTGGATCACGGTAAGTATAGGTCATCGTATGGCCTTCAACAATGGGCAAACCCTATACCGTATAGTCGGCTATAAAAAGTTAGTAAGATTGGCAGAACTGAATAATTTGTACTTGATTTAAAAACATGTTAATAATTCCGAACACTAAGTCAATGTACCAAATCAATAAACAAAAGAGAACGGAAATGTTCAAATTATGTCGGAAACGATGAGTCAAACACCGGTAAGGTCATACATAACAAAAGACATGGTTACACGCACTCTTATATCTGTATTAACACATCACTACTGACTTAAGTTCTTTTTGTATTGCCCCAGTCTTCACAGATTTCGTTTTTATTTCTTTATAACAGGCCATCGAGAGATTTAGTTGCTTCTTACCATTTGAATGTTTGAAATGTTAATACAACTATACACAAAAGTATACAAAACCTGGTATTTACTGTTCATGTAAATGAAATATTAATTGTTATACGCGTGCAAAGGAAAATATATGTCTGAATTGTGATAATTATTGTCAAATAATGTTTTGTACCCGCGTTTTGGAAGAATTTGTTAAAAACATAATAACTTTAAGATTAAATAATAAATCAGACTTAAGAAATGTCTTGTTTTTGAATCTTATACCTTGAAATTAATCCATATTTGAGAGGGTCAAAATTGGACAGCTGACGAAACCTTATAGAATTTGGATATTTGGGAGTCTATTTAATGAATTTACAAATTTTATTTTAACAATTTTCCATATACCTGTTTAATAGAAGTATTACTTAATGCCATACATGACGTCGAAACCAGTTTTTATGCAGTTGGGATGCTACCTAGCTACCTAGTCCTTAATATGCCTGGAGTCACATAGGGCAAGGACCAGATTTTTCTTGTTGAGATGCAGTATTGTAAATTTACATACTATTTTACATCAAAGGACATGGAAAGAATGTATACTTCAAAGGCAATACAGTAGCGTGAATTAAGGGAGAATTATGGTATATTTATCAAACGCATGGTGTCGATGAGACAACAGCCAAATTGATTTACCTCCGATCGAATTTTGGTCGTAAAAATATCCAACCTTTTCATTTTTACCCAAAACATACTAATTTATATGAAAATTCCAGTTTTGAGCCATCTTTATACAGCAATAATCTCTTTGAATCGTTTGACATTTTATAATCTGATAGTGCATAAACTACACTATCGATTTTTTCTTTCCATGTTTTACCATCTTTTCTGTTGGCAGTTTTGTATTTGTTAACCTGAATTTTCAGAAAGTGATAGTATTTTTTAAATCTAAAACATTAAAGTGTTCCTCAAATTAAAATCTTTACAATATCAATGTTGTCATCATCATTAGTAAAATTCAAATCATTTGGGTTTCTTCCAAGGGTAAATACCATTACTTTAGTCTGGTTATATAAACTTTTAACTTCCACTTATTTAAAAACTCATTGAAAAGCATTGAGTTCAATGTGCAGGACATTTGGATTTATCTGCGTTAGACATTATTCTGAGACAGAAATATATTTACTATATAAAAAAAACATTCTTCTAAATCATTCGAAATTATTGAGAAAGGAGATAGATTTCTCCTTGCCTTACACCACTTGCACATGCAAAATTTTGGAATTGCAGTTATTGTAAGGGATACAAGATTTGATGCTATTATACATATATGTTTGAAATGACTGTATATACATTTTCCAATTTATATGGTTCAGTAACATTTTATAAACTGACAACCTATTTCTCCACACAGTATCGAATGCTGTCTCAAAATCTATGAATGCACACAATAATGTTCTTTTTTACATTTTAAGGCTTCAATAAGTAAGTATACAATATGTTATCCATAGTAAGAGTATATTTTGTCTAAACCCCCTTGATTTTCATTGTTTATTTGAAAATCTTCGGACAATTTTGTGGATTTGTCAAAATAATTAAAACTAAAAACAAGAGGCTCATGAGAGCCTGATATCGCTCACCTGCAATTTCAGTTTCGGGCATTTGACTTATTTTGCTGAACAATTTTGTCATTTACACTTTCTCTCTTTCTATAATAATATTAAAGATGATACATAACCCAAAACTGTAAAATTTCCTAAAAATTAACTATTTCTGGACAGTAACCCAACAATAAGTTGACCTATTGGTCTGAAGATTACTTGACAGGTAGATCTAAACCTGTTTAACACTTTCACCTATGTCAGTTTTGCTCTTACTGCTTGAGTTTTTGGGATGAAAGCCAAAAACTTCATTTGACCCCTATGTTCTATTTTTAGAAACTGCCGCCATGTTTTTGAATGGATCAAATCCCCGAATACAATCTATAAACTAGATACCCTAAGGAACGTTCAATTTAAGTTTTTTAAGTATTTGGCCAAGTAGTTTCAGAGAAGAAGATTTTTGGAAAAGTAATTAGACTTTCACAAAAAATGTAAAAAAAAAACGTTTTAAGGGCAATAACTTCTTAAGGAGTCAATTGACTATTTTGATCATTTGACTTATTTGTAGATCCTACTTAGCTGAACATTTTTGCTATTTACACTTTCTCTTTATCTATTATAATATTAAAGATAATAACCAAAAACAGTAAAATTTCATAAAAATAAACTATTTCGGACAGTAACCCTACAATGGGTGGTCCAATTGGTCTGAAAATTTCATATCAGGTAGATTTTGACTTATTCATCACTTTAATTCCGTCACTTTTGCTCTTACTGCTATAGTTTTTGAGATAAAAGTCATAAACTGCATTTGACCCCTATGTTCTATTTTTAGCCATGGCGGCCATGTTTGTAAATGGATCAAAACTACGGATACAATTTATAAACTAGATACCCAAAGGAACATTCAGTTAAGGTTAAGAAGTATTAGGCCCAGTAGTTTCAGAGGAGAAGATTCTTGAAATAGTTTACGATGACGACGGACGACGACAGACGCCTAGTGATGGCATAAGCTCAGATGAGCTAAAAAGTTGAGCAAGTTCTTTAGAATCTTAAAGAAAAAAAATGATTCTCTCTCATAACAGTAAGCCTTCAACCTACACATCCTGTCCTTCTCTGATAAGCTCGACAAGGCGTCTTATGCTGCTACCTCATCACATTATCAAATGTATTATATACTCATGATGCATGTCCCTGTATTTCTGTTTACCATTATGTCGAATACATACACCAAACATAACTTGTTTTGGTATGCTAAAACATTTCTTTCAAAGTATCTTTTATTTCTATTTGTTTTCCAGGAAATATTTATAACCTAAAATTATCCAAGTAGTGAATTTGCAACTGTAACTATTCAATTATGTGTTTTAGTTGTTATGTGAGCGTAGCAGTGCTGGATGGATACATCTATGCCATGGGTGGATTCGATGGACATATACGTCAAAATACGGCTGAACGATACCTGGCCGCTAAGAACCAATGGAGCCTTATACAACCAATGAACCATCAAAGAAGTGACGCTAGTGCTCATAGTCTAAACGGTGAGTTTCAGACCGATTGCGTAAACCCTTAGATCTTAATTATATTGAATGAATTAAAAATCACCCGAAGTTCTCTGGGTTCGTACTTCGGGGTTTGTCTTAATGCTTTTTATTTCTATTTGGTTACCTTGCATTGTTTTGTCAGGTGGACTTTCTATTTCCAGTATTAACCGTTTGATGTGTCTTCAAAATACGCCACTACTACTTACTTAATTGTTCATGATCCCTTTATTGAAAATTTCCAGAAAGTCTCTCAGACCCATATTTTTTAAAAAGTACATAAAAGAGGGACGAAAGATACCAGAGGGACAGTCAAACTCATAGATCGAATACATAACAATCATATATTTTGGGATGTGACTCCAATTTGATTATGTCCTGGAAGTCTGTTAGAACAAATATACTTGAGAATAAAATGCTCCGCTGGGGCGCAGCTTGATACGACCGCAGAGGTCAAACCCTGAACAGTTGGGGCAAGTATGGACACAACATTCAAGCTTGATACAGCACTGAATTTGGATTGTAATTAAATATTTGACACAGCATAGGTTTCTGACACAGAATGAAAGTGGTCTAAGAACTTATAATTTTTTAATTTACCTATTCATATATGTGATGGACTGTGAAACTCAGATCAGGAGATTGGGAAATTTTGGTCAGGAGATTAGGACTCAGATCAGGAGGTTTTTAATCGACATAAATTTTGTCGTAAATGTAACCGTGTGCTGTAAAAATGGTCTTTTAAAGTGTGTTTTCTTCAACTTTCCATCCAATGTATTATGTTTATAGTACCCTTGTACTTATAAAGTTTCTCCATCTTTATATTTTACATGTTCAATCTAACATTATTTTTTTTTCAGTATGTTCTTTTGATTTTTTACTTCATATTCTATAAAACATTTATTGCAACCAGAACATTTGTTTAACTATCTGCAAATAGCTTTTGTTTGCATACTCAGAAAATCATTCTAACTGTAAAACAAGGGTCATAGTTATTATATAAATTTCAATTTAAGCCTTGAAAGGAAGTATAGAATCCTCAAATAATTTTCAAATTATTATTTTTTTATTTGTCCTAAGACATTTAAAATCATTTATTTACCATCCTTTTATGATTATTTGTTCAATTTATATTTTATTTATATCCTTTTAAAAATTTTCATTATTAAAAGGAAAGTAACTTAAAACAGGATAAATCAAGGGAAGTAACCCAATAAATACACAGTTTTTGTTACACAACGGCAGTTAGCATGAGGTAAAAAATCGTTGATTACCAGTATGTTTGACACCCAAGCTGACAAGTGAAGCCATATAATTATGCATGTTAATTGATTTACAGGTAAAATATAACTTCAGGTAATGTGAGTTACACCAGATGCCTGAGATGATATTTTGGGCCGAAATTTTTCATTCATGAAAAATTTCATACACGGGATTATAATTTTCCTCTTCAACCGGAGGTCGGGAGGAGACTCCTGAAAACAGGATTATTGTACTCCTGTCGGAAGGTTCACATGTATGCTATTCAAACCATATCATTATTATTTGCTTTTATATATAAATCAGAAATAACCAATTTAAAATGGAAAATTTTATAGAAAAAAAAGGAAAAAAAAATCCCCCCCCCCCCAAATTTTTTGAACCCCCTTATGATTCATCGCCCCCACACTCAATCCCAGCTTTCCCTTTGTGGTATGGTACCTTGCAGTACAATTTTAGAGAGATCCATTCACTCGAACACAAGTTATTTTCTGGAAACTAGAAAAATGCTTGTTTTTTTGTCCCTTTTTGGCCCCTAATTCCTAAACGTTTAGGGCAATTACCCCCAAACTCCAACCCAGCTTTCCCTTTGTGATATGGAACCTTGCAGTACAATTTCATAAAGATCCATACACTTACAAACAAGTTATTGTCCTGAAACTAGAAAAATGCTTGTTTTTGGCCCCTAATTCCCAAAATTTGGAGGAAATTACCCCCAAAAATCAATCCCAGTATTCCCTTAGTGATATGGAACCTTGTGATACAATGTCAGAGAGATCCATACACTTACACACAAGTTATTGTCATGAAACTAGAAAAATGCTTGTTTTTTGCCCCTTTTTGGCCCCTAATTCCTAAAATTTGGAGGCAATTACCCCCAAAATCAATCCCAGCATTCCCTTTGTGATATGGAACCTTGTGGTACAATGTCAGAGAGATCCATATACTTACACACAAGTTATGTCTGGAAGTTACAAAAATGCTTATTTTTGGCCCCTTTTTGGCCCCTAATTCCTTAACTGTTAGTACCATAACCCCCAAAATCAATCCCCACCTTCCTTTTGTGGTATTGAACCTTATGGTAAAATTTCATTGAGATCCATTCACTTAAACTAAAGTTAAAGTGCGAAAACTAATGTGTATTCGGACGACGACGCCGGACGACGACGACGACGACGACGACGACGCCAACGTCATACCAATATACGACCACAAAAATTTTTTTGCGGTCGTATAAAAACCATCCAGAAACTATATATTTTTGGTAGGCCGGTTATGACCCAAACTTCAAATGCATTGGAAACATGCCGATCCAAGCTTTTATATGGAACAATTGGGTTTTAAAGGATGCAATTCCAGTTTTAGTAAATTTTCTGGAAGTATCTCAGACAAAATTATGATTTAGAAAAGCACTTAGAAACTGTATTTTCCGAAAGATTGTGACCTAAGCGTTGACATGGTAGAATTTGATTTCAAAAGGATGCAATTCAAGTTTTGATATATTTCCTGAAAGAATCTCGGTACTTAGTATAAACCATGTATTTTTCGAAATGATTAATACTATCTACGTTTGAAAGACTTTATCTCCCCCAGATTATAATTATATCATGTTCCATCAGTTATCAAAACTAAATTTCAGAAACTACGAAGTGATGGGAGTCAAATTTAGGTAAGAAAAAAATCCAAAGGTGTGTTATATTAAGTAGGATAAAAAATCACCATTTGATTACAACTCTTCCTCATTTTTAGCACTAAGATAAATTGAAAGTTTTTATATATTGTCAAGTTTCGTTTTGTGGTCAAGAATGGGCAACATGGAAACCAACAGACTCTGATGCTCAGTTGTGACAATATATTTGTTAATTTGTTCAGGGGCGGATCCAGCCATTTATAAAAAGGGGGGGGTCCTAACCCAGGATAAAAGGGGGGGGGGGGGGGGGGGGTGGGGTTCCAACTATAGGTCCCCATTCAAATGCATTGATCGTCAAAAAAAAAGGGGGGATTCCAACCCCCGGACCCCCCCCCCCCCCCCCCCTCTGGATCCGCCACTGTTGTTATACAATGTACTAAGCAGACATATTTTTTCTTCTTCAATAGACAGTCGGCATTCCTTACGGGAAATAACTGTGCATCTCTAGCTACCCTTTATTTGTTATGAAGAAGCCTTCATAAAGGGGCTAACTTATATACCCATTCTTGCTTTAAAACATACATAATAACGAGCACTTTGAAAATAATACACACATTGGGATAACATACAACCTTTTAAGAATTCTACATGCCAATGTTGTGTACACATTCAGAAGTATATACACCACCTGGTTAGGAACCAGGTAAATTAAAAAAGGATTGTGGCCCATAAGGAATTCCGGAAACTCTACAATTTTATTCAAAACATGTCAAACACACCACATAATTTTGACAGAATGGTGGGGCCAATGAATATAGATAAAGGTGCCTGCTAAAAACCTTTCAGATGTCAATCTTCTCTTAATTTACAGGAAGAGTTTATATTTGTGGTGGATTTAATGGTCAAGAGTGTTTAAGTTCCTGTGAGTATTATGACCCCCCTTCCAACCAGTGGACAATGATTGCTACCATGAGGAACCGGAGGAGTGGTATAGGAGTTATAGCCTATAGAGACTGTATCTTTGCTCTTGGTGGTTTTAATGGAATCACCAGAATGAATACAGGAGAGAAATATAACCCAATAACTAACCAGTGGAGTACAATACCAGAAATGTATAATCCAAGAAGTAACTTTGCCATAGAAGTAAGTAAATAACTAACCAGTACAATACCAGAAATGTATAATCCAAGAGGTAACTTTGCCATTGAAGTTAGTAAATAAGGTCGATGGATTCTAAGATGGTTGACACAAAGTATATTGTTCCATTTGATACAATTTCTCTACATATTTACCTATTACTTCATTCATCAGTAGTTTGCACTGTAAAGTAATCAACACATACATCTTATATTACATTACTCAATGGAATGCACTGTTACACCAATGGAATAAAATAACTGTGCATCCCTACTCAGTAAGTATTTTGTAATCAGTTTTTTGTTATTTTATTTTAAAACCAGTAACCACATGACATGACCAATTTAATTTTATGTGAGAATGTGAATCTTAAATTTTGATGTCTTAAGACAGCAATTTTGTGTGGTCAGAAAATGTAGTTTTCAAAAATGAAATAGCATATACCCCGGTATATGTATATATATATATACATAAACATATAAATTTAGACTAAATTGAAAACAATGTTCAAACCTATGATTGCGTTGGATTAAAACCGCAATTTTTATACGTGTGCATGCAAAACAAATTTCTTGGTAGAGGGGTCTAAATACAGCACAAACAACATTTTCCAAAAGACCAAAAAAGTGAAATAGTATATTTTAACAAAACGCATTTGACTAATAGGTCGAACAACGGATGTTCTTAAACCCTGCTGACTGCCATTGGCAATTGCCAAATAAAGTCTTCACAAGATGTAACATAATGGATCTTTATTATTAATTTAATACCAAACAGAAAACAATAAACTTGCGGAAAAGATGGTATACCACAAACATGAGGTGCACAAATTTGTACACCATATCCAGATTTTGACAATTAATGTCTCTTCAGTGATGTTAGGAATCGAAACGGTATTTGGAAGTCATATAATTTACCTCAATTTGGGATAGACTCTTGAATTTTGAAAAAGTCAAAATAGGATGAACGGATCATATAAACCCAAGGGCAAATATAATACAAGCCCAAACGAAAAAATATAAATAGGTCTAAATTGAAAACAATGTTCAAACCTATGATTGCGTTGGAAAAAAACCGCAATTTTTATACGTGTGCATGCAAAACAAATTTCTTGGTAGAGAGGTCTAAATACAGTACAAACGACATTTTTCAAAAGACCAAAAAAGTGAAAAAGTATATTTTAACAAAACTCATTTGACTAACAGGTCGAACAACGGATGTTCTTAAACCCTGCTGACTTCCATTGGCGATTGCCAAATAAACGGATCACAAGATGTAACAAAATGGATCTTTATTATTATTTTAATACCTAACAGAAAACAATAAACTTGCAGAAAAGATGGTATACCGCAAACATGAGGTGCAAAAATTTGTACACCATATCCAGATTTCTTATATATATGTATATATTCTCATATATTTTATGATGGAATGATACTACGGTAAACCCCTAACGGGAGGGATTGTGTTTGATTTTCATGTGATGAAGACATAATCTTTCAATCTGTTTTATTGAGGTCTGGAGCTGGCATGTCAGTAACTGCTAGTAGTCCTTTGTTAATTTATGTATCATTGTCATTTTGCTTAGTTTCTTCTGTTACCTATTTTGACATTGGACTAGGACTTCTTTTAAACTGAGTTTTACTGTGCGTATTGCTGTGTGTTTGTTTATTCTAAATTGGCTAGAGGTATAGGGGGAGGGTTAAGATCTCACAAAACATGTTTAACCCCACCACATTTTTGCGCCTGTCCCAAGTCAGGAGCCTCTGGCCTTTGTTAGTCTTGTATGCTTTTTTAATTTTGGTTCTATTATATGTTTCGGAGTTTAGTGTGATGTCCATTTTCACTGAACTTATACACATTTTTGTTTAGGGGCCAGCTGAAGCCCACCTCTGATGCGGAATTTTCTCGCTGTGTTGAAGACCCATTGGTGGCCTTGTGCTGTTTTCTGCTCTTTGGTCGGGTTGTTGTCTCTTTGACACATTCCCCATTTCCATTCTCAGTTTCATTTAAAGTAAAACTTTAATAAAATTCTAAAAATTAATAAACTTATTGCTCTGTTTAAATATTTAACTTTGAAGAATCAGAAAGTTTGATTTGCCAAATATAAATTTATATAATAGTTAAATATCACAACTGTTCATTTGCTGTACTCAGGATACACGATGAGTGTACAAAGAAACACGAATCTCTTGAGAAAATTACCCGTTATATAAAAAAATATCTTCATCTCCATCCTTTTTTAGGGTAAACTGTGACTATGGCCTACACTTATTCTCTTATATTTAATCTTCCTAATTGTTTTATGTTATTTTAAAGGTAATTGATGATATGATATTTGCTATTGGTGGCTTTAATGGAGTGACAACAATATTTAATGTAGAATGTTATGATGGATCAACAGATGAATGGTATGTTTATGTTTTAATTTAACAACACATGTAATAACTTCTTTTTTGGGTCCAGCGATGAAATTGATGCCTTTGAAAAATAATGTTTGACTGTGTCACTTAATATTTTCTTCTGTTATGTTAAAAATCATAGGAATCCCAAGTGATTCCTTTAAAAAAAAAGAATTTTTTGCATTACTGTAAATGGTTTATATATTGAAAAGATTTGAAGTTTAAAACAATTCTTTCATTAATTTGACAGGTATGATGCTACAGATATGAACCTGTATAGAAGTGCCTTGAGTGCATGTGTTGTCTCTGGTCTCCCAAACATACATGATTATATATATAAAGATAGAGACAAGACTGATGATAATGAAGAAAGAAGAAAACGAAAAAGTCCTGTTTGAAATATCTATATAGCCAAAATAAAATAGTTTATTTCTGATGTTTATGATTGTCATGTGACCTGCTATCGGAAATAATATTATTTCAACATGATGCGTCGGATATGACTTCCTTACTAGACCACACCTCTCAATCAACTTGACCTTACTATACCACACCACTCAATTTACTTATTGTGAGTTAGTGTCAAGCTCTTGTTTTTATCATGTGCTCCATTAGGGTTAGCAGATCCTGCTCCAAATCATCAAAACCTTATCTCAATCAATTTGACTTTCACCAATCACAGGTGTTGAGGTGGTAGCCAAACGAAATATAAATTATTGAAATTAAGATTCAAATTACAAAAAAATATATTTCCAAAAGAAAATGAAAAATAATATCAAACAAACATCCAAACTATGCAGACAAGTTCTCCTTTTGTAGCACAGTAAAAGTATTTTAATTGAAGTAGCCCTCATCTCAAAAGTATTTAAAACATCAATATCAAAATACACTTGAAACATTCAAGAAATATCATCAAGAGTGGAATGATCATCCTGACCTGGTAACAGGAACCTATGATTGAATACAAAATCTTTCATTTATGTATATTGTTTACCGTTCCATATTGCTGAAACTCTCTTACAAAGGATTAATACAAACTTACAAAAAAAAAAAATCAAAGCAAAAAGCAAAAGCTTGTCTTCAAACATCAATGAAAATTTTGGTAATCTTTTAAAATACTAGTTTTACACCAACAAGAATAATGGCCTTGACTGGACATTGATAAACTCTAATTAAATGAACATATGCAAACCTTCACACTAAAAGCACAAAGTCTAAATGAAAAAATAATTTAATGCAAAATTATTCAACATAAAAAAATTATCAATACAAAAATAAATTATGCATAAATATATGTATAAATAAGAAATGCTTGAAACTTGTGGTATTGTAATGATTTAAACTTGAGGTATTATACTTAAAGAGAATTAAACAAAGGATTTATTTTCTACAAATCTTGTAATCATATCAAGTCCTCTTTCTGGCTGATCATATGGCAAAATGTGACCTGCTGTTCTGACAACCACCTACAAAACAAACAGGACATGTTAGACATTTATACTCTAAGTGGCATTTTCCCCTCTCTTTTGGAGGACAGGTCTAATATTTTGGGAATTTAGAATACAAAGGTTACAAATGGAGTTTCTTGCGTTTTCATTTTGGAATTCTTTAAGTTCCATTTCATGCGTGGTAGTTGTATTGTTTATGTACTCCAAAAGAGAGGCGAAAGATAGCAGAGGGACATTTAAACTCATAAGTCGAAAAATAAACTGATAACGCCATGACTAAAAAAGAAAAAAGACCAACAGACAAACAATAGTACACAAAACACAACATAGAAAACTAAAGACGGAGCAACACGAACCCCACCAAAAACTAGGGGTGATCTATATTACTTAAGATATAAAAGTACCATGCTCTTTTTGTAATCTGACAAAAACTCTAGTTTAAATATTATATATTGATAACATTAGCGTGATAAAGGATTCTATAGTCCTCTGAATACTTTATTTTGATTTTCTACTGTATTTATTTCCAATCTCTACCTTATTAGCACTTTTCAATTAAAAACATTTAATTGACTTAAACAAGATGTTTCTGTTGAAGGAAGTCATAAGAAAGAGATAATAAAAAATTATTTAGTTTGCATCAATTAAAGATTTTGTTGTATTTAGATAGGCATATTGGAAATGTTCTATTCTATGACACAAAACCAACAAAAATAATCATTTGTATAAATCGTCTTACCTGGTAAAAATTGTTAACCTGTCTAACATAGCCTGCTACTTCTCTATCACTAGGGTTAACTTTCCAAATCATTCTATCTGCTGCTAAATACTTCTGTGCACCAGACCATGGTACGGACAGTAGGAAAGCTTCTGTCATTGGTACTGGTATAATTATGTCTAACTGACCATTGTAAAACATCACCTAAAAGTAACAGGGAAGTTAAGCAATGATTTCATTTGTGTACTGTCCTTGTTATGTCTAACTGTCTGTTACAAACATCAAATAAAATTAACAGAGACGTTTATTAATGCTTCCCTCTGAGTACTAAATGGAATTGTAATGTCTGACTGTCACCTTTAAAAGTAATAAGAAAGTTAATCAATAATTCAATCTTTAAACTATAGTACTCCGTCCTAAGTATTTGTAAAAACAACAATGGCTGTCACGTCAAGGAAGGGTAAACAAGTTTTTACCATCTTCTCCATGGCACAATCAGGATGATAATGAATCTATATATAGGTAGTTCTGTAGAAAAACATGTGCTTGTCATGTAACACATACGTGATGACGTCATAGTCGTCTGCATTTATGTTGTAGCTAATGTAAACAAAATGGGTCGCAGGGGAAAAGAACTTACATCTGATCAGAAAAGTCGTCTTGCTGCATTAAATGATGCATTAGTTACAGAAAAAGTGAAATTGTCAAATTGACAGGCATCAAACAGAGTACCTTTTACAATTTTTTGAAGAGGTATGAACATCGGAGATCAGGCAGATCAAAATCCTTTCATGACTGGGACATGAGAAAACGTTCCCATTGTGTAAAAAACATCATCTCAAATCTTTATCTGAAATTACTAATATTTTTAATGAGAGCATTGATCAACCTTTCTCAAAAAGAACTGTTAAACATAAATTGAATTCTGAGGGGTTCCACAAGCGGTCAGTATAGAAAAAAATTCGTATCCGTGAGGTTAACAAGAAAAAACGAGTGGCATGGTGCAGAGGAAATTTACATAAAACTGTTACAATGTTTTCTGAAAATAACATTAAATAAAATGCTCCGCAGGGCGCAGCTTGATACGACCGCAGAGGTCGAACCCTGAACAGTTGGGGCAAGTATGGACACAACATTCAAGCTTGATACAGCTCTGAATTTGGATTGTGATTAAATATTTGACACAGCATAGGTTTCTGACACAGAATGAATGTGGTCTAAGAACTTAAAAATTTTAAATTGGACATTCAACTATTATGGTCCAATATCCAAAATCAAAATTCATGGTTAGATTCAGCATATCAAAGAACCCCAAGAATACAATTTTTGATGAAATCAAACAAAGTTTAATTTTGGACCCTTTTGACCTCAATGTGGACTAAGTTGATAATGGGGCCCAAAAATCAAAAATCTAAATACATGGTTAGATTCAGCATATCAAAGAACCCCATATATTCAATTTTTGTTGAAATCAAACAAAGTTTAATTTTGGACCCCGATTTGGACCAACTTGAAAACTGGGCCCATAATCAAAAATCTAAATACATGTTTAGATTCAGCATATCAAAGAATCCTAAGAATCCAATTTTTGTTAAAATCAAACTAAGTTTAATTTTGGACCCTTTGGACCTTAATGTAGACCAATTTGAAAACAGAACCAAAAATTAAGAATCTAAATACACGGTTAGATTTGGCATATCAAAGAACCCCAATAATTCAATTTTTGATGTAATCAAACAAAGTTTAATTTTGGACCCTTTGGACCTCAATGTGGACCAATTTAAAAACGGGGCCCAAAATCCAAAAACTTAATACACGGTTAGAATCAGCATATTAAAGAACCCCAAGAATTCAAGAATAAAACCCCATTGAAATTGGTCAAGAAATAAGCAATTTATACGAAGTATCTTCTTTTGAACAATACTGTGCAATTGAATATTTCTTGCTATTGCGCAATACTGTACAATTGACAATTTCTTGCTATTGCGCAATATTGTGCTATTGCACAATACTGTGCAATTGAAGATTTCTTGCTATTGCGCAATACTGTGCAATTGAAGATTTCTTGCTATTGTGCAATACTGTGCAATTGAAAATTTCTTGCTATTGCACAATACTTATTTTATAATAATTTACACATCCTGTTTGGTGTGTATCTCCTACCATATCGTTATTATTTGCTTTTAAATATAAAACAGAAATAACCAACTTAAAATGGAAAATTTTAAAAGAAAAAAAAAAGGAAAAAAACCCCCCCCCCCCCCCCAAATTTTTTGAACCCCCTTATGATTCATCACCCCCAAACTCAATCCCAGCTTTACCTTTGTGGTATGGTACCTTGGAGTACAATTTCAGAGAGATCCATACACTTGAACACAAGTTATTGTCTGGAAACTAGAAAAATGCTTATTTTTGGCCCCTTTTTGGCCCCTTATTCCTAAACGTTTTGGGCAATTACCCCCAAAATCAATCCCAGCATTCCCTGTGTGATATGGAACCTTGTGGTACAATTTCAGAGAGATCCATACACTTGAACACAAGTTATTGTCTGGAAACTAGAAAAAGCTTATTTTTGGCCCCTTTTTGGCCCCTTATTCCTAAACGTTTTGGGCAATTACCCCCAAACTCAATTCCAGCTTTCCCTTTGTGATATGGAACCTTGTAGTACAATTTCAGAAAGATCCATACACTTACACACAAGTTATTGTCATGAAACTAAAAAAATGCTTGTTTTTTGCCCCTTTTTTGGCCCCTTATTTCTAATATTTTGAGGCAATTACCCCCAAAATTAATCCCAGCATTCCCTGTGTGATATGGAACCTTGTGGTACAATGTCAGAGAGATCCATACACTAACACACAAGTTATGTCTGGAAGTTACAAAAATGCTTATTTTTGGCCCCTTTTTGGCCCCTAATTCCTTAACTGTTGGTACCATAACCCCCAAAATCAATCCCAACCTTCCTTTTGTGGTATTGAACCTTATGGTAAAGTTTCATAGAGATCCATTCACTTAAACTAAAGTTAGAGTGCGAAAACCAATGTGTCTTCGGACGACGCCGGACGACGCCAGACGACGACGACGACGACGACGACGACGACGACGCCAACGTCATACCAATATACGACCAAAAAATTTTCAATTTTTGCGGTCGTATAAAAATTCACTGCTGTAGGCAAAATTTACTTATTGGGCTGAAATTGTTCACTAGTAGGTCAGTTTGAATGAATTCAAACTGCAACTTAAGGAAGTGTCTGGCTTATTGGTTTTCTGAAAGGGCAAATCCTGTTGGATAAGCAGAGTTATTACTAAATAATTTTGCACTAGTGTTATTATCCATGGTTTTACTGTAATAAACATCTTATAAATCTCATTCAAAGAGGTAAACCATGGTTTCGCTGTATATATAACCTTGTGATTCTTTCATTGTAGCTGTCAATGGCTTTACTGTACATGTAATCTTAAAATTCTCCTTTAGTGAGGCTGTCAATGGCTTTACTGTACATGTAATCTTAAAATTCTCCTTCAGTGTGGCTGTCAATGGTTTTACTGTATTTGTAACCTTTAATTTTTCATTTAGTGTGACTGTCAAAGGTTTATCTGTTTTAAGTACCTTGAGATTCTCCATCAGTGTGGCTATTGATGGTTTTACTGAAGTAACTATTACCTTATAATTTTCCATAAGTGTAGTTATCCATGGTTTTACTGTATCCATAACATCATTAAGTAGATGTTTCTCTACAGCATCACCACTGTTGTATGTTAAGTTTCCTACATGGATGGCTTTCCTTACTTCTGGCTGAGCTAAATAGTTTCCATAGTAATTAAAATCATCTGGTTCCTGTTGAATACACATAATCAAATATTTACTTACTCTTAGCTAAAACTTATAATCGTAATATGTTTCTTCTGCTATATCTGTTAAAAAAATCTAAAAGATTGGAAAATAACAACTTTACTAAGATCTGAGAATAATGTAAAGCTTGTGTTTTGAACACAAGAAAAAGTTAATATAAATATAAACTTGAATTGGTATTGTAGATGAGGTGGGTTATAAAGGTTAAATAAACAAACAGACAAAATATAAATCTACAAAAAAATTCACTTTTAATTTTATTAAATTAAAAGACATTTAATTGGTATTTTATCCTATTATTTGCAAAAGTTTGAAGTGTAAAGCATATGATTTCAAACTGTATTTTAGAATTGAATTCTTCTTTTCAGTTTTAATCGGGTGTAAAAACATGGACTGTAGCACATTTTGTATGAAGCTTGAAAGCACTTCATACTAAAAATGTGTGCATGATCAACTTTTACGACCCTATAAAATTACAAAAAGAAGCATTCGATTCTTATAATTACATTTTTTTTATACAACCAAGAAATCACATGTTATATCAAATTTTATGTTTGTTTACCGGTATGCATTGTTTGAAGTTGTAATGAGAAGTATGCACATGTGCTATCATGATCGCTGCATTTTTTTTGTAAATTTGGAATGCCTCGCAATTGTTGTAGGCCAATCTAAAGTATGCATTTTTATGAAACATACATTATACGTTCAGGTATTTCACATCCAATTTTTTATGGAAATATTCTTTATAAAGCACAAAAATGTCAGTATTCACCTCTGAAGCTAACAAAACCTTTAAACAGACTTATTAAGAAGGGATATAGTTACGATCATTAAAGATTGCATATTTTGGCGTTAATATTGATTCACTTATAGGGTCTTTGCATCGGCACTAAACACATTTATTTAAAAACCAGTTGTTGGCATGACACAGGTTATGTTCTTCTCATATATGTTATTTAAAAACCAGTTGTTGGCATGACACGGGTTATGTTCTTCTCATATATGTTATGATGGTATGATACTAAACCCCTAACGGGAAGGATTGTGCCTGATATTCATATGATGAAGACATAATCTTTCAATCAGTTTAATTGAAGTCTGGAGCTGGCATGTCAGTTAACTGCTAGTAGTCTGTTGTTATTTATGTATTATTGTCATTTTGTTTATTTTCTTTGGTTACATCTTCTGACATCAGACTCGGACTTCTCTTGAACTGAATTTTAATGTGCGTATTGTTATGCGTTTACTTTTCTACATTGGCTAGAGGTATAGGGGGAGGGTTGAGATCTCATAAACATGTTTAACCCCGCCGCATTTTTGCGCCTGTCCCAAGTCAGGAGCCTCTAGCCTTTGTTAGTCTTGTATTATTTTTAATTTTAGTTTCTTGTGTACAATTTGGAGTTTAGTATGGCGTTCATTATCACTGAACTAGTATATATATTTGTTTAGGGGCCAGCTGAAGGACGCCTCCGGGTGCGGGAATTTCTCGCTGCATTGAAGACCTGTTGGTGACCTTCTGCTGTTGTCTGTTCTATGGTCGGGTTGTTGTCTCTTTGACACATTCCCCATTTCCATTCTCAATTTTATGATGGTATGATACTAAACCCCTAACGGGAAGGATTGTGCCTGATATTCATATGATGAAGACATAATCTTTCAATCAGTTTAATTGAAGTCTGGAGCTGGCATGTCAGTTAACTGCTAGTAGTCTGTTGTTATTTATGTATTATTGTCATTTTGTTTATTTTCTTTGGTTACATCTTCTGACATCAGACTCGGAGTTCTCTTGAACTGAATTTTAATGTGCATATTGTTATGCGTTTACTTTTCTACATTGGCTAGAGGTATGGGGGGAGGGTTGGGGTCTCATAGACATGTTTAACCCCGCCGCATTTTTGCGCCTGTCCCAAGTCGGGAGCCTCTGGCCTTTGTTAGTCTTGTATTATTTTTAATTTTAGTTTCTTGTGTACAATTTGGAGTTTAGTATGGCGTTCATTATCACTGAACTAGTATATATATTTGTTTAGGGGCCAGCTGAAGGACGCCTCCGGGTGCGGGAATTTCTCGCTGCATTGAAGACCTGTTTGTGACCTTCTGCTGTTGTCTGTTCTATGGTTGGGTTGTTGTCTCTTTGACACATTCCCCATTTCCATTCTCAATTTTATTATGTAATGTAATTATTCTAAAAATATGTCTTGTTTTCTCTTTGTGTTACGTTTCATTTTAAAACAAGGGCAAACAGAAAATTACCACAGCACAATATCTTTTATGCCCAAAATTACATATATTTGTTATTGCAATACAAATTTTGGCTATTTTTGCATATTTTCTGCAAGAATCAAAATAGTTTATGGCAGTTAATAATTGATTTAACCAAGATTAGGCTCTTTCTTTTCATAATATTACTTCTCACATGGCTAAGCTCTATTTTGAAAGGAGGGTACATTTTCATGAAAATATGGCCTACTATTTATATCATCTCCCATACATTATATATACATTGAACCACACTGTAAACTCACCTGGGTCAACAAAAAGTTGTAGTAATTCTTTGTTCCTGATACATTGTAGAAAAATGAGGGGTAAGGTGTAATGTCGCCATTTAATAAGGTGTCAAATATCTGAAATTATATAATATAGAATAACTATTCATTGGCTATAGGTTTTGAATTCAGAGAGTTTGACAAATATCTAAAAAATATGTTATGTAATTGCTTAAAGTAGATATTTAATCTAGTGAAACCAACTACACACAATGTTGAACCTGTACAGAAACAGCTTACATAAGTTTGTTCTTGTATAGGATTGGTGGCAAGTAATAAGTATAGGATTGGTGGCAAGTAATAAGTATAGGATTGGTGGCAAGTAATAAGTACAGGATTGGTGGCAAGTAATAAGTATAGGATTGGTGGCAAGTAATAAGTCAAATTTACAAAATAGTCAAACAAACAACTTTTTCCTTCCTTCTCTTTTAATATTTGGCAATTACAACTGATGAATGTTTTTTTTAATAAATCTATCTAATTTTACATAATCAATAGAACAAGTCTTGAGTTAATAAGTTATGTGATGTTTTTTTTTTATTTATTATTAAAGGAGGTACAAATGTACCAATGTGTTATTGACCAGAAAGTTATCTAACTTTGCTGAAGTATTAAATACATATCTTGGTGCTTTGAAAGTAAAAATAATTTTCAGTATTTACCATGAAAGCATCTAAAAATTTTCTATCATTGATATAAGAAACAGCTTTATCTGATTGTGACTGGAAGAAAGCTCGCTGCTTCTCATCTAGTAGTCCAATTGAATACATAAATGTGGCATACTGTGGCATCATCTACAGACACATAGTAAAGTATTGTTTTAAATGAAATAAATTAAATATTACACAGAGAGGAATAATCAACAATCATTATTATACTTAAATTTTGGACAGTATTGGTAATAGGAAACACAGTACATAGTAAGTTGTACTGAGGCACAATCAACAAATAATTAATAAAAAAAAAATATGGAATACCTTGGCATCTAAAACTGATCAAATATAAAAAATATAGCCCTATGATAATCAACCCGTAGTTGTAGTCAAATAAGATCCAGTAATTTATAAGCCAACATGAAATATAAAATAGCTAAAGTTATCATACAATGAATACAAAATCTTAAGTTCTATGTAAATAAACAAAAAAACAAGACAAAGAAAAGGAAAACAATAACTATTATTTTCAGTCTTTAAAGTATATTGTTTCAATATATTGCATCCTCATATTACTAAGGGATTGAACTAAACTTGACAAAGTATTGCTGATACATGTATCTAATTTTCATTGTAGTCATAATGAATACCAAAATTGCCATAAATGCAAAATAAGTGAATTTCATTTTACCAATGAGGGTTCAATTTAATATCAGGTTATTTATTGAAGGTCATTTATCAGGTTATTTATTGAAGGTCATTTTGACAATCACCACCAAAGATGTAACACTTCAGAAATCATGGTATTTTGGTTTCATATGTCATCTTAACTATTAAACAAAGTTCACTAACTCACAATTTTCAAGTACACTTTTCAGCTTTAACTTTTTAAATGGTAACAACTTACTGTTTGTGGATCAGATAGACCATCACCTATTGCCATCCCTTTAAAGTTTATCTTGACTTTAGCTGTAGGGTTCTCCATGTGGATTCTATAGGAAATTGCTGGAACATATTTACCTGCATATGACTGCAATAAATAAATAAATATGTTCAGGATTAAAAAAAACATCATTCAATCGTCCTGCATGATGAAGAACTAATATTTACAATATATACGAGAATTTCTACTGACCAACAAAACATAGCTATATTGACATTTTTTATCTTAACCTGAAAATGTTGGGTGAAAGCATGGTGAAGAATATCTTGGATTTTCAAACTGGCATAAAGAAGAAGGGGCATTAAGGCCTGTTTTTGGCCCAAGAAAATAAAGTTTTTGAGAACTATTTCAAATTTGCACATGTGATTTTGAAGTGCATGCACAAGCTTTTTCAAGTTATGAAATCACAGTTACGTCATAACATGCATCTTTTTCATGAAAAGGACGACAACTGCAGAATTTATACATTTTTCCATCCATATTTCCTTTGTGAAAACATAATGCATAGCCAAGGAACAACAAAACAATTTTAGGGAAGCTTTGTTAAAGCTTTTTACATAAATCTCACCAAATATAAAGTTGGTAGTGCACCCACTTTTCTAATGCCGTTTTGATCTAAAAGTTGATGTAAAACACGGAAAATCAAGAAATTTTACAAAAAATACAAAATTACAAAATGCTGATTATCAAAACTAGCATAAAAAAAATATTTTGGGCTCCCTTTACCTCGTTTAACCATACACCAAACTAAATATCTGGCTTTGTTTTGGTATTGATAATTTCAGTCTTATTTCTCATTGTAATTTTTTGCCTTGAGCAGGACAAATGCACAAAAACTATATGCCCTCTCATTGATAAAGTTATGAAATATAAATACAATATCTTATCTTCTAATTTCATAACAAAATGAACACAAGTTTTTGGTTCAAAATAAACTCATCATAGATACCAGGATTGAAATTTTGTATTTGCGCCAGACGCACTTTTGTCTACAAAAGACTCAACAGTGACACTCGAATCAAAAAAAGTTAAAAAGGCCAACAAAGTACAAAGTTGAAGAGCATCGAGGACCAAAAATTCCTAAATGTTTTGCCAAATACAGCTAAGGTTATCTATTCCTGAGGTAGAAAAGCCTTAGTATTTCAAAATTTCAAAGTTTTGTTAACAGTTAATTTATAATTATGACCATATCAATGATAATTCATATCAACACAGAAGTGCTGACTACTGGGCTAGTGATACCCTTGGGGAAGAAAAACTCCACCAGCAGTGGCATCGACCCAGTGGTTGTAAATAAACTCATCATAGATACCAGGATTGAACATATTTAGCTCACAATTTAAGTCAAAGCATACAAAAACATTAACATTATTATTTAAGAAAACATTGATAACGTTTTAATTTTGATAAACATTGATAACGTTTTAATTTTGATAAACATTGATAATGTTTTAATTTTGATAAACATTTCATGAAATTTTATTGTAAATAAAAGTTTTAATGGAAAATAAAGGACTCATTGTCCTTTTTTTAGAATACATATATTGAAGATCAAGTAATTACCTCCCCTGTCGCATAAAAGTCATTTTTCTGGTACTGATAAAAGGCCATGAAAAACTGAGTCAAGCAACTGAAAAAAAATAAAATTATAATCTTCACTTGAAATTCTGACTTTATTACATGTTAGACACAGAGTTCATGATGAAGTATTAAGTGAGTCAATAATTACATAATCATAAATTTATAAATTAAATCTGTCAGACTTTTATAATAAGTTTTGTTATTTAATATCAGATCAACTTTCTGTAAGTTCCTTTGTTTTATCTATAAACTGAGAAAAACATTTCGTATTAAATAGAATAAAATTTTGTCCTGCAAGTTGTTAATTACATTTGAAAGGTTAATTAGAAGATAGTTTTTTGCATAATGTTCAAAGGCAAATTCATGTAGAAGAAATATGGTTTGTTAACTTAGTTTTCTCGCTTGAATTGTTTTACATTTGTCATTTCGGGGCCTTTTATAGCTTGCTATGTGGTACGAGTTTTGCTCATTGTTGAAGGCTGTATAGTGAACTACAATTGCTACCTTCTTTATCATTTTGTCTCTTGTGGAGAGTTGTCTCATTGGCAATCCTATGACCTCTTCTTATTTTTATATAATGTCACTCCAACACAATTCAAGAACACACACACGCCTAATGTCACTCCAACACAATTCATTACTTTTCCGCATGTTCAGTGGATGCATTGGGTGCCAATCCCATTTTGACAAAACTACACATTTTCTATCCTCCCTTACAATCTTTCCATATAAGTTCATTATTCCAATCCACAACTTTTTAAAATAGATAAGAAAAGTATGTCATTACCTGTATAAATCTCTGCCAACATCAACTTCATTAGTGGCATAACCCATATCTTTTTCTGTAAAACTAAATCCTGTTCCAACCTTCAAAATCAAGTAACAACACAAATCATTATCATGTGACACAAATTAATCAATTAAAACTGTTCATATTTGCGAAAATAAATTCAGAAATGTTTGCATGCATTCAGATTGCTCTTAAAATATTTTGCAATCACAAAAGAGATGCAAAAAATTCTGAATTTAAAGTATTATCAACAGAGAAGATTTTTCTGGCTGTTTTTATCAATATAACTCTTCTAAATATTAAGCCTTAATACATTTATTCTCTTATAAAACAAAAGTAAAAAGAATGTTTTTTTTGTTCATCTTATGCAAACTTTTAATTTCATGTTATTATCAGATTCATTTCAAAAGAATAAGATTAAAAAGTTTCTGTAAGTACGAAGCAGATGATGGCCGATCATACAGGACATGAACCTATAGTTTTATCTTTGAAAGTCAACTGTGAAAATAGTGGAAATACATGAAGACTGAAATAGTACTCTCTAAGGTAGCATAGAAATGACAAAATAATGCATAGCCTATATTCCTACATAACATATTTATACACAGATAAGGTGAAAAGTTGCTTTTTATACAGTGAAAAATGAAATAGAATAGTGCATGACCTACAGGGTTATCTATATACAGCATTGAATATCTACTGTTCCAATTTATCTTCTTCTCCAGTACTGAAATATAATATCTGTACTAGTAAATAAAATTAACCTATGCCAAACCCATGAAAATTAATAGATGGTTCCATTGAATTAATAGTTCTTCATTGGACCTTACAACAATTTATAACATGTAATGTAATTACTATATAAATACACAATAAAAAGTCTAAAAACGTTTTTAAAAGGCACACATATTCATCCAACTCCACAAACTTACACAGAGTTCTATAAAGTGCTCAAATTTTCATTTAGAAATAAAAACAAAATGTACATATTCTGTTCTAAATTATTATGGCCAATATTACTGGCTGTAAAATGGGTTGTTGAATACATACAATCATGATAAATGTGTAACATACAGTGATGTTAACCAGAAATGGAATGCAGAAATGATAACAAATTTTTCAGGTAAAAAGTAGAACATATTCTTAGTATACGGATTTGGAGAATTAAGGTCAGTTTTAACAGTCAATGTAATCAAAAAGTATTAATGTTTAATAGAAAAGCATTTGAATTAAATGTTTTTTTTTCTCACATGAAACCATATGACTCCTCCTTCCTCCTCTCCTTAAGGTCCATAACTTTCTTGTAAGAAAAAAAGATAGGTAACACATCAATAAGAAAGAAAACAAATGACACAACAAGAGTACACATGCTGAAATGTATTGCTTGTTTTAGTGATCATGATTGAATTTTCAGTTGAAAGATTTTAAGAGAAAGGCATTACATTAACTGAAAGATTATTATTGAACAAGTAATTAAAAAGAGCTCAATTTCATGAAAACCATGTCTGACAGACATTTACACAAAACAATCATTCCATTCCAAAAATATAGTTGACCAACTGCATACTGTATCTGATTAACAGAACTAACCATGAAACTTGAATTTGACCAATGAACCAAGAAAATAAGGTCAAGTCAAATGAAACCTGCCAGATGGACATATCACCTTACAATAATTCCATACACCAAATATAGTCGACATGTTGCTTATAGTATCTTTGAAACAGACCTAATCTTGAAAACTTAATATTGACAAAAAAAAATGTGAAAATGAGGCCACGCTAGGACAAATAAACCTGGCAAGATAGACATGTATACCTTACAATCATTACAATAAGTCAAGCAATACATAGCACAAAGTTTAGAAAAGTTGTGAATAAATTAATCAGAGACTATAAAAAATCTGAAATCAACACTAAAATCCCAAAATGACAACAAAAATTGAAATACAGCTGAAGACAAGCATTGGTGATGTTCCTAACCGAGGACAGGCACACAACCAAGAAGCAGGTTTAGTTTTTGAGATCTCAACCCTCCCCCTTTAATCTCAATCAGTTTCTGAGTCCGAGTAGGAAAATCGTGCTAGATTTTATGAACGCAAGGCCAGATATCGTGCCATCCTACTCTGTAAACTTCTTTGTTGTTGCTATATATATACATACATTTCATGTTCTTGTCCACCATAAGTGGGCCGTTTTCTACAAATAATCCAAATAAAGAGGAACCTCCAGGTCCACCTTGTAGCCATAATAATACAGGGTCATTAGCTGGATCTTTCTGAAATTATATAAAAAGATAAGTTATAGAATAATTATATAAAAATTATTTGGTTGAGGCAAACTTTATTTGAAATAGCAAATTTAGCAATTTTTCCATTTATTAAGGGACATAACTCGAGAACGGTGAAAGTGACACCACCCAAATTTAAACTTGATCTGTACTTGGTGGTACTAAGCATTGTGTATAAGTTTCATAACATTTGGTTGAGGCAAACTAAAGTTAGAGAACGGAAACTAATTTTTGGACTTATGGATGGACAGACAAGGGTAAATCTTAAATCCCCCTTTTTCGCAGTGGGAGCATCATAATTACTGGGTACATGAAATTGAGAATGGAAATGGGGAATGTGTCAAAGAGACAACAAACCGACCATAGAACAGACAACAGCAGAAGGTCACCAACAGGTCTTCAATGCAGCGAGAAATTCCCGCACCCGGAGGCGTCCTTCAGCTGGCCCCTAAACAAATATATATACTAGTTCAGTGATAATGAACGCCATACTAAACTCCAAATTGTACACAAGAAACTTAAATTAAAAATAATACAAGACTGACAAAGGCTAGAGGCTCCTGACTTGGGACAGGCGCAAAAATGCGGCGGGGTTAAACATGTTTATGAGATCTCAACCCTCCCCCTATACCTCTAGCCAATGTAGAAAAGTAAACGCATAACAATACGCACATTAAAATTCAGTTCAAGAGAAGTCCGAGTCTGATGTCAGAAGATGTAACCAAAGAAAATAAACAAAATGACAATAATACATAAATAACAACAGACTACTAGCAGTTAACTGACATGCCAGCTCCAGACTTCAATTAAACTGATTGAAAGATTATGTCTTCATCATATGAATATCAGGCACAATCCTTCCCGTTAGGGGTTTAGTATCATACCATCATAACATATATGAGAAGAACATAACCCGTGTCATGCCAACAACTGGTTTTTAAATAAATGTGTTTAGTGCCGATGCAAGACCCTATAAGTGAATCAATATTAACGCCAAAATATGCAATCTTTAATGACCTGACAACAGTATCGTAACTATATCCCTTCTTAATAAGTCTATTTAAAGGTTTTGTTAGCTTCAGAGGTGAATACTGACATTTTTGTGCTTTATAAAGAATATTTCCATAAAAAATTGGATGTGAAATACCTGAACGTATAAGAAGTCTGCATGTTGAGCTATATTTACGAATGATGTCCTTATACCGATGATAAAATTTAGTAAATGTTTTGACTAGTTTGTGATATCGAAAACCCTGGTGTAATAATTTTTCAGTAATACATAAATTTCTCTCATTAAAATCTAAAACATTGTTACATACACGAGCGAATCGTACAAGTTGAGATATATAAACACCGTAAGATGGTGACAAGGGAACGTCACCATCTAAAAATGGATAATTAACGATAGGAAATGAAAAATCATCTCTTTTATCATATATTTTAGTATTAAGCTTTCCGTTAATGATATAGATATCAAGATCGAGGAAAGGGCAGTGGTCATTGTTAGTATTAGCTTTATTTAAAGTAAGTTCAACAGGATAAATTTCTTTAGTATACACACTGAAGTCGTCATTATTGAGAGCCAAAATATCATCCAAATATCTAAAAGTATTATTAAATTTGTGTATCAGATGTTGTTTCGATGGGTCTTTGCTGATTTTTGTCATAAATTGTAACTCATAGCAATACAAAAAAAGGGTCCGCAATAAGTGGTGCACAGTTAGTCCCCATTGGAATTCCGATAACCTGACGATATACGGAATCTCCAAAGCGAACAAAAATGTTATCTAGTAAAAATTCAAGGGCATATATAGTATCAAAGCATGTCCAATTGACATAGTTTTTTTGTTTATTGCTACTAAAAAATGACCTAAAAGAGTTTGAACATATATATTCACATTCTGACTTTTTAAATGCCCATTTAATTAGGTGTGTGAATTTTTTCTTAATGAGAATGTGAGGCAATGTGGTATATAGGGTAGAAAAATCAAAACTTTGAACAGATTCAAAATCACCAATATATGCATGCAATTTATCAAGTACTTCCAACGAGTTCTTGACACTCCAAAAGTAGTTAATTCCACTATTTTCGAAGGCCTTATTTGAACAATTTATTATCAGGTTTTTGATTGTACCAAGTGTACTGGTAAGAAGAATAGACAATTTAGTAGTGGAACAATGGCTTGAAGACGAAATGAATCTATATTTGTAAGGTGTTTTGTGTAGCTTCGGAAGCCAATACATAGTTGGGACTTTCATTGTATTTGGTTCTGCTTGTAAAGCGGTAGCTAAAAGTTTATGTTTGTTACATATGTCGTTTTCTGAAAATGGAGTCAGTTGGAATGTTGGTGAATTGGTGATTTGGTGATTGGCATGCTTCAAATTACAATTTACAAATGTATTTTCTCCATGCACACTATACAATTGTAATTAAGTGACAAGTGTATTATAATATATTTCAAACATACAAAATGTGGATAATAGTTGTAATGAATATGATGTTTGCTATCAAAAGGGCATTCAACGATTATGATGTCTTCTATTCAGCAGGCTTCTTTCAACCATAATCAGAGTGAGAAACATACTTTGATTAACAAGAGTGCACACGCTGAAATGTCTCGCCTTCTTTACTAATCATTGATATTATGTTGATAGTCCTAAATATAAAGCTTTATTACAACTGTCACATAAACTTAACATTAACCAAGTAAACTAAACATTGACCAATGAACCATGAAAATAAGGTCAAGGTCAGATGAACCATGCTAGGCAGGCATGTACAGCTAACAATTCTTCCATACAACAAATATAGTTGACCTATTGCTTATAGTTTAAGAAAAACAGACAAAAACACAAAAACTTAACACTGAGCAATGAACCTTGAAAATGAGGTCAAGGTCAAATAAAACCTGCGTGACTGACATATAGATCACAAAATATTTCCATACACCAAATATAGTTGAACTATTGCATATAGTATTAGAAAAAAAGACAAAAACTCAAAAACTTAACTTTGACCACTGAACCATGAAAATGAAGTCAAGGTCAGATGACACCTGCCAGCTAGACATGTACACCTTACAATCATTCCATACACCAAATATAGTTGAACTATTGCAGATAGTATTAGAAAAAAAGACAAAAACTCAAAAACTTAACTTTGACCACTGAACCATGAAAATGAGGTCAAGGTCAGATGACACCTGCCAGCTAGACATGTACACCTTACAATCATTCCATACACCAAATATATAAGACCTATTGCATACAGTATAAGAAAAACAGACCAAAACACAAAAACTTAACTATAACCACTGAACCATGAAAATGAGGTCAAGGTCAGATGACACCTGCCAGCTAGACATGTACACCTTACAATCATTCCATACACCAAATATAGAAGACCTATTGCATACAGTATAAGAAAAACAGACCAAAACACAAAAACTTAACTATAACCACTGAACCATGAAAATGAGGTCAAGGTCAGATGACACCTGCCAGTTGGACATGTACACCTTACAGTCCTTCCATACACCGAATATACTAGACCTATTGCTTATAGTATCTGAGATATGGACTTGACCACGAAAACTTAACCTTGTTCACTGATCCATGAAATGAGGTCGAGGTCAAGTGAAAACTGTCTGACGGGCATGAGGACCTTGCAAGGTACGCACATACCAAATATAGTTATCCTATTACTTATAATAAGAGAGAATTCAACATTACAAAAAATCTGAACTTTTTTTTCAAGTAGTCACTGAACCATGAAAATGAGGTCAAGGACATTGGACATGTGACTGACGGAAACTTCGTAACATGAGGCATCCATATACAAAGTATGAAGCATCCAGGTCTTCCATCTGCTAAAATATAAAGCTTTTAAGAAGTTAGCTAACGCCGCCGCCGCCGCCGTAGCCGCCGCCGCCGCCGCCGCCGCCGGATCGCTATCCCTATGTCGAGCTTTCTGCGACAAAAGTCGCAGGCTCGACAAAAATGAGAATGAACCGTTTGAGCTTTGAGCCTGCTATCATAAAATCACAAAGGCACTTTCCTTGTGTTTAATGGGAAAGCTAGATTACACTTAAAAAAAGATAAACTTCAGTCATCATTTTGATTTCATATTCAAATATTTTAAAGTTGCTTGATTTAAAATAAGTTAGGATATAACAGTCAAACCTGCTATAAAGGTTACCTCTATTAAGCAAAAGCCTGGCATGTCAGGTCAGTCTCTTCTTTGTCTGACTGTTGTAATACAGATGCATTTTGATTCTCAATACCCTTGCTTCTAATCATCATTCCATCAAAGTATTAGGTTTTAGACAACATTATTTGTGCATTTATTGGGCATAAAATCTAGTTAGTTCATTGATCAAAGGGTTGAATATCTTACTGGGTATAAGTTCTATAGTGTGGCTTAGACAAATGTGATAATTGATAAAATTAATATTATAATATATAGGTAGGATTAATTAATATACATATAGATTCTTACATTGATACCAGTGGATTATCGGATTTATCCAATCGAGATAGTTAAAATTTATAATTTAACTATCGAGATTGGATAAATCCGATAATCCACGAGTAACTATGTAAGAATCTGTTTCTCTAATGATTAAAAAATAAATTTTCTTTTTTTGTTAAGCGAAAATCCCCTTCGAGTGCCTTTCACATTCCACGAAGTTGTCAATTTCATTTACACCTTTTAGCATATTTTGATTCATCCAGTTAGCTAAAAAGGTTATGACCCTTAAAATCATCCAATGATCTTTTGAGATCACCGGCAATCACACGTTGATTAAATTTTTTTATACAATGGGTTTCGGAAAGGGATAAATTTCCATAGAATTAGAGAAATAAGAATAAAGACTGATGCATGAAAAATGTCAGCAATGTAGAATATTGGGAGATAAACCAACCTTACGAGACCCTTATGGGTAGTCAAGGTCATTAAACACCCCCTAGTAGTAGAATATTGGGTAGTGAGAGGTAATCGAGTCTTTTGTAGCAGCTACTATATGGCCTATGATTTAAAGGGGATATGGATATATGTAAATGAGACAATGATACTAACGCTACAAAAAGGATCTTTAACGTGAACAGACTTCCTCCTCTCTCCACATGTGACTGTGTATTTATACATACTGCACAGCCAAACAGGTGTCCTTCAGCAAGGTTCTATTGTAGGATGATTTAAATTCAGATTCAACAAGGTCATATTTTAGGATGGGATAAGTTCAGACTCAGCAAGGTCCTATTGAAGGATGGGATAAGTTTAGATTCATAAAAGTCCTATTGTAGGATGTGATAAGTTCAGATTCAGCAAGGTCCTACTGTAGGATGGGATAAGATCAGATTCAACAAGGTCATATTGTAGGATGGGATAAGTTCAGATCCAGCAAGGTCCTATTGTAGGATGGGATAAGTTCAGATTCAGCAAGGTCCTACAGTAGGATGGGATAAGATCAGATTCAACAAGGTCATATTGTAGGATGGGATAAGATCAGATTCAACAAGGTCATATTGTAGGATGGGATAAGTTCAGATTCAGCAAGGTCCTATTGTAGGATGGGATAAGTTCAGATTCAGCAAGGTCCTCTTGTAGGGAAGGATAAGTTCAGATTCAGCAAGGTCCTATTGTAGGATAGAATAAGTTTAGTTTCATGAAAGTCCTACTGTAGGATGGGATAAGTTCAGATTCAGCAAGGTCTTTTGTAGGATAGAATAAGTTTAGATTCATGAAAGTTTCTACTGTAGGGTGGGATAAGTGCAGATTCAGCAAGGTCCTACTGTAGGGTGGGATAATTTCAGATTCAATAGGGTCCTACTGTAGGGTGGGATAAGTCTGATTCAGCAAGTTTCTACTATAGGATGGAATAAGTTAAGCTCTTGGTATATTCTTACCTGAGAAGGGAAGAACCAGAAAAACATATTACTGTTAAAAGTTTTGTTAACTGTAATAAAACCAGCATAGCTTTTAAGGCTAGTTCCATCTAATGTACCAACTAAGCTGGCTTTCTGGGCTGAAAAATATACAAATTTTATGTCAATAGATATAGGAAGATGTGGTATTAGTGCCAATGAGACAACTCTCCATCCAAGTAAAAATTTATAAAAGTAAACCATTATAGGTCAAGGTACGGCCTTCAACACTGAGTATTGGCTCACACTGAACAGCAAGCTATAAAGGGCCCCAAAAATTACTAGTGTAAAACCATTCAAACGGGAAAACCAACGGTCTAATCTATATAAAAACGAGAAACGAGAAACACGTATGAACTACATAAACAGACGACAACTACTGTACATCAGATTCCTGACATAGGATAGGTGGAAACATTTGCAGCAGGATTAAACGTTTTAATGGTACCAAACCTTGTCCCTTTTCTGAAACTATAGTATAACATCACAACATAGAAAGAAATTCATAAATGTACTAAATACACAACTTGACAAGGGAATTGTTCTTGCACAGACTTTTAAAGTCTTCAACATGTTCAAAGATAAAACAAGTCACTGATCAAGATAATCTATAAAAATGTTTTTCAAGATTTCAAAAAGAATGGATATAGTGGATCATCAGCAGCACACAAGAAAATAAACCATGATTAACAGATAATAACAAATATATCAATAAAAAACATTTCTTATTATTGTTCTTCATCTTGATAGAAGCTTGGAGCTCTTCAAAAGTGAATTAAAAGGCTAACAAGATCAAGATAGCACCTAGAATTGACTAATATTGTTTTCTATATTCATTGGAAAATTGCCACTCATTTCTTTGAAGAAACAGATTCAATCAGGAATGATCAAAATGTAAAAGTGGTGAGATCTACCTACTAATTCTTTCGATCACTTAAACAAAGAACTACATAATACTAACAACTACAATCAAAGAGGGAATCTATGGCTTCATCTAGACCTTTATACCAAAAAATTGACAAACAAAAAACTAGCTACAAAAGACTGAGATATCTAAAGGATGGACTGTGAAAATAAAGTTAAGTCACTGAGCTGCCTGAAGTGAGATATGAAGTAGCAAAAGTCATAAGAAATCGCTCTTGTAAAAACACTCTATAACAGGAAAATGATGAGGAAAATATACTTTACAGGATCAAATACAAGATGTAAGTGTTTCATGTGTTCATGACTAGGTACATATATAGTATTGTTGTTATTACCAATGTCACTTTATTCAATGATCATAATTTAAGAAATTATTCACAATTCATGAAGTTATCATTTTTTTGCTACTGGCAAACTCAAAAATAAATCTGATAAAAAAATGAAGTAAAAGATGCACAAATATATATGAAGTGTAGAATTTCTGTCAAATATTCTTCTTTTTAATGTAAACTGTCTGAGATTTAACTAAGTTAAACTTCTTATATGTAGAAATAGCATTGCTATTGGAAATCAGAAGATTTAATCTGAACAATAAATCAAATAGGAGGTATATAATAATACCAGTCTGTCAATTAAGTCTCATATTCATATTATAACTATTTAAACCATAGAAAAATTTACTTTGAAAAACTTTTGTGACTGACAGCTAGATGGACAAGACAAAAGCAATGAGTTTTCCTTCATATAATGTTTGGAGATGTGCATATTTAATTATCATTGTTTGTTAAATAATAACTCAATACAAACCCTCATCAAACTTTCCCTGTTCGATCAGCGGTGATAAAAAGACTGGTTGACCTGGATCCTGCCCATTTTTTAACATAGGAGGGTATTCTTTAGGGAACATTGTTCTTAGAAAACCTCTTCCAGACACAAATCCAAAGGAGACTATTACTAGTAATACTGCAAATCTGTCCATCATAGTTTAATCTAAAGAAAAGTTTTTTAAAATGTCAATAATTGTTGAATTTCACAAAAACATCAATTGACAAAATTATAGCATAAATACATTTTCTGTAACAAAATGTAAAAAGTAAAAACACACTTAACATTGACATTCACTGAATTATTTACTATTTCCACATTTTGTATTATCACTTATAATTTTCAGTGTTGGCTGCAGATTTATAATAAATCTCCACTTAAAATTTTCAGAATGTGACAATATTTAGATATGAGACAAAGAAGAGCTTGACATACACATGATACATGCCCTCTAGATGTCTTTTGATTAAATTCGTCATTGGGTTGCTAATTACTCATGTCTTGTCAACATCTGACTCACATCTCCTCTTATTAATATATAAAAATAAGGAGATGTGGTATGATTTCTAATGAGAAAACTATATATGGTGTGGAAGCTTGTCTATCAATGGTGATAGTAACTTGAACTCTACTGATGTCTTTTGGGTTTGATTACAATATTGTCCTACTGAAATTTACCCCACATCATATTTGTTCTATTACAAAATGAATTCATCACTTCATTCAATGCAACACACAAGACGATACTTTTCAAAAGAAAATTCATGAAAATCATGATAATGTTAAAGAAGAATTTCAAACGTTCATTTTTGTTTAACCAATTCTTCTCAACATTAAAAGAATATTAATCTAAACAAGCATTCTGTGAGTATTGCATGGCAATACATAGTCCCCTACCGGTTACAAATTCATTGTAATGGAACGAAATTCTAACTTGATCTTTAACTTGTCATGGTGTAAACTACGTAAAAATATAAGTCAAAATCTTCAAGCATGACGAAAAAAACTGTTGAAAACTGATTATTTAAGTGAATTTTCTATGTCCAAAGACCATAACTCTGCACAAAATTATCAGACTGGAACAAAATTCCAATTTGATCTGTAACTTGTCATGATAAATCAATAAACCAAATATCAAATCAATATCTTCAAGCATAAATAAAAAAAGTCTGGAAAACTGATTTGCCGGACTGACAGATGGACAGACAGACAGAAGGACAGACAGACAGACAGACGGACGGAGTGCTAACCTAAAGTCCCCTTTGACTTCGTCGGTAGGGGACTAATAAAAAGTATGAAAATTCTTAGGTTCATAGAAGACTAATTATATAATAACAATTGATACAGAAATAATAAATAAAACAAATCTGTTCCATGCTCTAGATCTGAATAAAAAAGCATCATGCAAATCAATGAGAGCATGGCAGTTCTAAACCAGTACATAGGGATTGCTCATCAGACAGTCATATTACCCAATCTCAGCATGACAGCAATCTGTGGCAATCTGAAAATCCAAACTAATTTTGTATCCTAAAAAAACAAGAGCCTTGAATAGATTCTGAACACTGAAAGGTTCTTGGAACCTTGAGTAAATAGCAATTAGAACAGAGAATTATCAAAATTAAGAGTTTATTAAAAATTCTAGAATGAAGATGGATTTTAAATTAGAATTTCCACAGAGATTTTGTTCTGTAAAACGCATACACAACATTTGTGTTTGGTCCAATGTCAAGGAAATTTCATCACATGTCATTTCTATTTTTTTTTTCATTACACTACGTTGGGACCCTCCTGAAATGCTATGAATAAATAAACCATTCTGGAATGAGAAAAGAGAAAAGAGTATCTACCATTTAGGAATAACTGCAGTTCATTTACCATTATGGAATGGTAATGACACATTTAACATTATGGAATGGTAATGACACATTTAACATTATGGAATGGTAATGACATGTTTAATCTTATGGAATGGTAATGATACAATTAGCATTATGGAATGGTAATGACACGTTTAACGTTCTTGAATGGTAATGACACATTTAACATTATGGAATGGTAATGACATGTTTAACATTATGGAATGGTAATGATACAATTAGCATTATGGAATGGTAATGACACGTTTAACATTCTTGAATGGTAATGACACATTTAACATTCTGGAATGGTAATGACACATTTAACATTATGGAATGGTAATGACACGTTTAACATTATGGAATGGTAATGACACATTTAGCATTATGGAATGGTAATGACATGTTTAACATTCTGGAATGGTAATGACACATTTAGTATTATGGAATGGTAATGACACGTTTAACATTCTTGAATGGTAATGACACATTTAACATTATGGAATGGTAATGACATGTTTAACATTATGGAATGGTAATGATACAATTAGCATTATGGAATGGTAATGACACGTTTAACATTCTTGAATGGTAATGACACATTTAACATTCTGGAATGGTCATGACACATTTTACATTATGGAATGGTAATGACACGTTTAACATTATGGAATGGTAATGATACAATTAGCATTATGGAATGGTAATGACACGTTTAACATTCTTGAATGGTAATGACACATTTAACATTCTGGAATGGTTATGACACATTTTACATTATGGAATGGTAATGACACGTTTAACATTATGGAATGGTAATGACATGTTTTACATTCTGGAATGGTAATGACACGTTTAGCATTATGGAATGGTAATGACACGTTTAATATTATGGAATGGTAATGACACATTTAACATTCTGGAATGGTAATGACACATTTATCATTCTGGAATGGTAATGACACATTTAACATTCTGGAATGGTAATGACACATTTAACATTCTGGCATGGGAATGACACATTTAGCAGTATGGAAAGATAATGACACACTTAGCATTATGGAATGGTAATGACACATTTATCATTCTGGAATGGTAATGACACGTTTAACATTCTAGAATGGTAATGACACATCTAACATTATGGAATGGTAATGACACATTTATCATTCTGGAATGGTAATGACACATTTAACATTCTGGAATGGTAATGACACATTTAACATTCTGGAATGGTAATGACACATTTTACATTCTGGAATGGTAATGACACATTCAACCTTCTGGAATGGGAATGACACATTTACTGACTCACTGCACATTGACAATTCTGGAATGGTAACAGTAAATTGACCATTCTGTTTTATGTCAGAAGGCTTAGTGTGTATCTTTTCCAGTTAAAATGGTCAAACATAATTTTTCTAGTGAGTCAAATCAAGTAAAGTAAATATATAAAACACAAGTTCTTAATCTTTTCAAATAGACTATCGTACAAAACAGGCTACAAAGAAGCTTAGCCACTCACATGGTAGTCATACAATGCAATGTTTAACTTGAATGACCTTTGTATATCATATATATTGGTCAAGTTTAGCTTTAAAAGAGAATCTATATAATAGTAATTATCACATGGTCTTAGTTATTCACAGTAAAGTATTGCTGAAAAATAAAGTTCACTAATAAATGTATTTCATTTTACATCTTTACCAATTATGCAACCAAAATCTTATCAACAGTTATTCTGTTAACATTTGTTTGCAAATATATTTTATTCCTGTTTCTATTATTAAAAAAATCGTTATATATTCAAAGCTTGTGTAATACTATGGTATATATTGTCTTAAATGGTACTGAACCATTAAGAGGCAACAATTGTAAGACAAACAGAAAAAACATCTTACAAGTTCTTTAATTTGACCTATAAATATATGATGCTAGCTTGTCACTCAATAACCCACATTTCATGGAGTTCTTGCATCTCATATATCCCACATACCACTGAACTTGACATTAAAGATACAACTTAAACTACCAGGTATGCTTCATATCCGGACATTTTTCTTATAATTGACAATTTTAAGTTTCCAACTGTCAGCTTAATTTCCATTTTTCAGTAGTAACATAGCCCCTGCTCCATGGTGTTAATTAAGGCCAAACATATAAATATGCATTTTTCCTGTCTTCTGGCAGAAAATGTAGAGAAGATAGGTTAAGGTAAAATAGTTTTATTTTGAAAAAAGTTTTACATAGACATTATACTCAAATATTCTGAAATTTTTTAAACAGTGCTTAACCAACAATGTCTTGACCTAGAAAGTGTTCAACCAAAAATTCTATAAAATGTGTTAGGGTATATGAATGAAAATTTAGGGTGAGGTACATGTATGGTTGGAAGGAAGAACGATTGAAACAGACACTTCACAACTTTTACTATTGCCATGATAAATTGGTTGACCATTATATAGATGTGTCTGTGAGACCTATTTTTACAATCTTAGAGCTATCTTAGTCACTATATTAGTCATCTGATCAGTAAATTTACAGGTTGTGTCCTTGTCCCTATCCTGACATTTTGTCTGAGTAAGGATTCTACACATTGTGGTTGATGCATGTAATGCATAGCATGAAAAGCTTAACCTGACAATGCAAAAACAGATACAGATACAAATACAGATATTTTACTTTGCTAATTACAGCACACTCACAAGCACAAGGAGCAGATTAATAATTTTAATGAATCATACATAGATGACATGAAAAAAATATAACAAAAAAAAATAAAGAGATGTGGTATGATTGCCAATGAGACAACTATCCACCAAAGTTAAAATGAAGTGGATGTACTTAGCAATTATAGACAACCGTATGGCCTTCAACAATGAGAATAAAATGCTTTGCTGAGGGCAGCCTGATACGACCACAGTGGTCGAACCCTGAACAGTTTGGGCAAATTTGGACACAATACTCAAGCTTGATACTATCTGAATTTGGATTGTGATCAAATTTTTGACATAATATAGGTTTCTGACACAAACTAAATGTGGTCAAAGATCTTACAAATCTAATGTGCAATACTGTGCAATTGAAGATTTCTTCTTGAAACTTTTCAAAAATTTGAAATTTTGAAAATTTTGAAAAAAAAATATGAGCCCTTTTAAAAAAAAATTGGAAACCCCCCTTCCCCCCAAACTTTTCGAATCCCCCTTTTAGCATTAACCATCAAACTCAATTGCAGTCTTTCCTTTGTAGTATGGAACCTTGTAGTACAATTTTAGAGAGATCCATACACTTAATCACAAGTTACTGTCTGGAAACTAGAAAAATGCTTTTTTTTAACCATAAAAGCCCATTTAAATACATCATAAAAGTATTAAAATAGAAAATGACATCATAGTCATGGCTAAAATTAAAAAACCTTCATCAGCAACTTTTAATAGTAATATCTTAAAATAAATTCCTTCATCTGCATTTAAAAGTAACTTCTAAAAATAAATTGACAGCTAGGACTTTGCAACCATGAAAACCCATTTAAATACATCATAAAAGTATTAAAATAGAAAATGACATTATAATCATGCCTAAAAATTTTCATCAGCTACATTAAATAGTAATATCTAAAAATAAAATTCCTTCACATACATAATCATGGCTATAATTAAATAACCTTTATTAAACATTTTTAAAATAGTAACTTCTAAAAATAAATTGACAGCTAATCACCTTAAGACAATACATTTCTTGATAAATAATTAACAAGCAGTGTAAGGGAGGTAATTTGACAATATGTGTTTGAGTTACCTCCCTTACACTGCTTTAAAATTATGTTTTGTACTTAAGTAATTGTCCATTAACCTGGAAACCCTTGTTTTTCACCCTTTTTTGCCCCTAATTCCTAAACAGTTTGAGCCATAACCCCCCAAAGCAAATTCTTACCATCCCTTTGCAATATGGTAATTTTTGGTATAATTTCAGAGAGATCCATACACCATTTCACAAGTTATTGTCTGGAAACTAGAAAAATGTTGATTTGGGCCCCATTTTGGCCCCTCAATTCCTGAACTGTTAGGACCATAACCCCCAAAATCAATATCAACTTTCCTTTTGTGGTCATAAACCTTATGGTAAAATTTCATTGAAATCCATACACTTAAACAAAAGTTATTGTCCGGAAACCAATGTGTCTTCGGACGGCGACGACGTGATACCAATAGACATGAACCAACGACAACCACTGAACTACAGGCTCCTGACTTGGGACAGGCACATAAAGAATGTGGCGGGGTTAAACATGTTTGTGAGCACTCAACCCTCCCCTAACCTGGGACAACATAAGAACAAACTATAACAATCAGTAAAAAAAGGCTTAACCCATCAGATCAATACAAAGAAAAACCTTTATAACTACCTTTTAAAAATTTTCATCAAATCATATTTATATATATATTTTTGATAATTTAAATCTTTTTGATTAACATGATTAAACTAATTAGATGCAAACCGCTGAAATCTATAAAAATAACTTCAAATAGACCGATCAATGTCCGGTACATTTTAGTTTACCTGTTACCTGAACAGGTAAATTTCAACTGTCTGACAACTAATTAACCTTGTTTGTAATGAGAGGGTATTAAAGTAGGATTTGTTTTGATAGTACTTGTTCACCATGTCACTTTTATGACCAGAAATGTGGTTGTTTAAGGCAAAAGGTCGGGTCAAAAAGATCGCAAAAACTTCAATTTTTTTCTGAATTATGTTAAAATGGCAAACCTACGTTAAATGTCCGTTTCAGGTTTGGCACAACAAGTCATATTTATAATTTATCGGTCATGTCCGGAAAATACGACCGTTTTGGAAGCCCAGAACCAAGTACAGATCTGAGAGTACTCACAGTTACTGACAGCTACAAAATGTAGTTCAAAGCCAATAACAACCAATTTAAAAAAATCATGTATCTAATACTAAAATATCAATCAGTACACATCCAACAGTCAGATGTCTATCTTGCACATATATATTCGTAATGTACTAACAATTTTTTAGATCTTAATACCAATAAACTTCTGTTGTATCTTATTAAATATTTTAAACTTTTTATAAAAGTAGATCAACGCTTTTGAAGAATTTATAAATTCAACTAAAATTTAATAACAGTTTATTTTTACAGTTTTTCAAGTTTGACTATAAACTCCATGCTTATAAATGGATTTCTGCTATAAAAAAACTGGGATTATGTTAGTTTACTTCCTATACTCCCCGATAAAAAATACGAATGAAATGTAGTCTGTCCTACCCAGTTATTTCCTCCCCTTGACAAACAAATTGACAAAAAATTACCTGATTATATCACAGAAAATTAAATACTTAAATGCCCATAAAAATGCACTTGTAGCTTTACTACCGTGTGCTCAATAAATGTGACACCACATGATTGTCATGTGGTTAAACGGAATATCTCTTCCTTTCCGTAGATGAGTTGCAGTTTACTTTATACGTGTCGGATAAACGTTTTTATACAGTAATATTTCCATTTGGGAAACATGAACAAAATTAACAGTTGAACTTCTTAATTGCGAAATCGGTACCGGAACTATGTCGTCAGAAGAAGATAGTGTTGAAAATTTATCATTTTCAGCTAAATGTAAGTCACTCTCTGGTTTTATACTTTTACAGATGAACCTGAAATATATGAAAATATCAGATACTTTTAGTATTTTGAAATGAACGGATTTCTTTCTTATCTTCCAGCTGATCAATGCAATCTGAAGTTCATCATATCTTTTTTTACTTAATTTTATTATAAAGTTGCCTCTTGAGTAAAAGTGTATTGACTCATGTAATTTTCTGTTGAGAAATGATGGACAGTAATTCTGTTCTAAGGGGAGAAGTTTTCACTTAGATATTTTCATGTTTGCTTTTCTGTTTATTGGGAAAGCTTGAAAAATATTTGAACAGTTCATTTAATTTATAACTATTTTTACATGTATATGTTTGTTATATTTGCTCATTTGCTCATGTGTTTATGTTTCAATTCCAGAGTACCATCTATAAATAGATATGCATTTATTCTATATAAAAAAAAAGAAATGAATTTAAATTTGTTTTCAGATACTTCATAATGTACCAAAATCATCCCAGAAATTGAACCAAGTAGCTTGGTAACAATAAACATTCACAAAGTTTTGTAATTTTGTGTTATGGAATCAGATTGCATTGCCATAAAAAATGCTTTTTTATAAGTCAAATACTCTCACTGGGTCCAATTAATCACATTTGATTCAATACAATTTACCTTATCACTATTCAGGACAAGTTCTGATGAAATCACACAACTTTTTTATGAAGTCACAAACCGGTTGAAGCTATCTGTGGCCCTGTTTAAACAATGTATTGTGCATAAAACTTTCAAAGAGACATGTATAACCCAATTATTTTGTATTCTCAAAACTACATATATTCATTAATGCTACAAATATATCGTTTCTAGTTTTTTATATAGATTAGACCGTTGGTTTTGAATGGTTTTACACTAGTAATTTTTGGGACCCTTTATAGCTTACTGTTCGGTGTGAGCAAAGGCTCCGTGTTGAAGACCGTACTTTGACCTATAATGGTTTACTTTTATAAATTTTGACTTGGATGGAGAATTGTCTCATTGGCACTCATACCACATCTTCTTATATCTAAGTCCAAGTTTAGTTCTTATCCATCAAGTCATACATATTCAATAACTATGTACAAATGTTTGCGTGTCAAAATCGTATCATGCTCAATAATGACCAGCCAGTACACACTGTTCTGATTTCATTAACCAGTATATATTAAAAAGATAAATATAACAGTTGTGCTATACAGCTACATGTATTTGATCCATAGATCCTTCATTTAAAATGAATAGCAGTTAACTAATTTGTTAAAGCCTTCAAATTTAACCAAAAAAAAAGATTATGTTTTACATACTTGAATGGCTATGTTTTACTGTACATATACTTTCTTTTAAAGACAATCCTTTACTCTATCCAGTTCTGCAGAAAGTCTACATGTACTATAAAATTTTGGTCTTCCCGTATTCTAATTCTTCAACATGACACCTCTGGTTAGAAATTTGGGCAATAGCACATGTACAGCGCAAGTGTGAATGGAAAATCTGTGGTGTAAAAAAAGTAAACAAACGTGGAAAGAAGTTAGAATTAACCGATTCTGAAAGAAAAATATATACACCAAATCAGTAAACAACTGTTTTGACATGCTCCATGATTCTGTGTTGATTGATTATGGATCTGTAAACTTCAGCACCCAAACCAGAAATGTAATTAGCAGCCAAAGTATCAACTAACACCCAATGAAATATTCTTTGTTGATTATACATTATGGTTTTGGAAAAAAAAAGTTTAAAAAAATGCACACAGAAAACTTTGTTTAGTATACATCATGTACATATAGATGTAACACTCAGAAGTGTCCATCCCCCTAATGTGTCCGATCCATTAAATGTGTCCATAGAACATGACTGAACTCCCAAACATGTCTAGTTGATGAAGGACGTCAAAATGTGTCCTTTTTCAGAGGAAAGTATTGATTGTATCAAGTTTATCAAACATAATAATCAGTTATCTAAATCTGTGTGCCGACCACTTGGACCAGTTGCCTGCCAACATTACTTACAACCTAAGTTTTCTACAATGTATCTAAATCTGTGTGCCGCCAACTTGCCTGCCAACATTATTTACAACCTAAGTCTGCTATCTAAATCTGTGTGCCAACCACTTGCCTGCCAACATTATTTACAACCTAAGTCTGCTACATGTATCTTCATCTGTGATCCGACCATTTGCCTGCCAACATTATTTACAACCTAACTCTGCTACATGTTTCTTAATCTGTGATCTGACCACTTGCCTACCAACATTATTTACAACCTAAGTCTGCTATCTAAATCTGTGTGGCACCCACTTGCCTGCCAACATTATTTACAACATAAGTTTGCTATCTAAATCTGTGTGGCACCCACTTGCCTGCCAACATTATTTACAACATAAGTTTGCTACAATGTATCTAAATCTGTGAGCCGACCACTTGTCTGCCAACATTATTTACAACCTCACTCTGCTACATGTATCTTAATCTGTGAGCTGACCACTTGCTTGCCAACATTATTTACAACCTAAGTCTGCTATCTAAATCTGTGTGGCACCCTCTTGCCTGCCAACATTATTTACAACATAAGTTTGCTACAATGTATCTAAATCTGTGTGCTGACCACTTGCCTGCCAACATTATTTACAACCTAAGTTTGCTGTCTAAATCTGTGTGGCACCCACTTGCCTGCCAACATTATTTACAACATAAGTTTGCTATCTAAATCTGTGTGGCACCCACTTGCCTGCCAACATTATTTACAACATAAGTTTGCTACAATGTATCTTAATCTGTGAGCCGACCTCTTGTCTGCCAACATTATTTACAACCTAACTCTGCTACATGTATCTTAATCTGTGAGCTGACCACTTGCTTGCCAACATTATTTACAACCTAAGTCTGCTATCTAAATCTGTGTGGCGACCACTTGCCTGCCAACATTGTTTACAACCTATAGTCTGCTATCTAAATCTGTGTGCTGACCACATGCCTGCCAACATTATTTATAACCTAAGTCTACTATCTAAATCTGTGTGCGGACCACTTGCTTGCGATCATTATTTCCAACCTAAGTTTGCTCTCTACATTTGTAAATCTGTGTGCGGACCACTTGTCTGCCAACATTATTTACAACCTAAGTTTGCTATCTAAATATGTGTGCCGACCACTTGCTTGCGAACATTATTTCCAACCTAAGTTTGCTATCTACATTTGTAAATCTGTGTGCGGACCACTTGTCTGCCAACATTATTTACAACCTAAGTTTGCCATCTTTATCTGTGTGCTGACCACTTGCCTACCAACATTATTTATTACCTAAGTTTGCTATCTTAATCTGTGAGCCAACCACTTGCCTACCAACATTATTTACAACCTAAGTTTGCTATCTAAATCTGTGTGGCACCCACTTGCCTGCCAACATTATTTACAACCTAAGTCTGCTATCTAAATCTGTGTGCCGACCACTTGCTTACATTTTAATAAATAATACATGTAGTGTTGTCAACGATTAACCGGTTAACCTTTTTTTCAATTTTAATAGATTTGATATAGATGTGTAATGAAATCATTAAAAAATTTTGTTGAATTTTGAAATGATCGTCCAGTTATTAATTTGAGAGATCAATTGTCCAGTATATTGATTGCTATTGTTAACCTTGAAAACATTCTAATCTTACAAAATTAATTGGCACTAAGACAACTTGTCGATCACCTCCGGGCAAGATCTAGATAAAAGTAAACATGATTAGCATGCATGTATTTTGAACTGTTGATTACATTTTACGATATACTTCATTGTTTAATTTTGATTTAATATTGCGTAGACCTACATTGTAAATATGCCACCTCCATCGTCCAAGGTTTTGTCATACTTTAAACAAAATGCAGACTCAGAAATGGTAAATGCAAATAATGGAATTAATGTATATTTGGTGGTACGAGTAACACGTTTTATCGTCTCAAATTGAAACATCTGAAACACCAGAGAAAATAAAACAATCAACGGTTTCAGACAGTGCCAACTCGACCAGATCAAGAAAATGTTCATCTTTTCAATCTGAAGTTACACACTTCATAGAAGATACGGTAGAATTGGATTATTAAAAGTAAACTTCACCAGGAACAGAACGCTCAAAGCCTAGCCTTATAACATGTATAATGCACAAGGATAAAATTCAATTTGTCGTATCATAAAGACGTACATTTGTAGTTACTCTAGATAAGGCCTTGAAACATCAACTTATCTACCGGTAACCGGTTAATCGGTCGAAAGATTATCCGAGTAACCGGTTAGGCAAAACTGCTCGATTTGACAACACTAATAAATAAATAAGCTTTAATTAGTGTTGGTATCTGGTTTTCAAAACAGAGACATAACATAAGCTCTATTAAGCTTTTAACCGACAATAAAAACAAGCATGCAATAAGCTAAATAAAAACACAATTTATGAAGCAATATAATTTAGCATCATAACAGAATTTATAAGCATTTATTAAAGCAAATTCAAATGAAGATGAAACTCAGCATGATTAGAACGCTGGTAAAACTCATAACATAAAAGTTAAGGAATGGATAAGATCTAAATTGGTAAAAATTTAACAAAATCAAATATTAATCAGCACAAACTGTGCACTTAGTCATTTCCATTCCATGAATTGTAATTACTGGTTAGGGTAAAAAAACAGTACAAGATATTAATATTCTTTTGATCAAATCTGTGTCAAATTGTTAAGTCATTTCTCAAATCTATGTTTCTTTAAAATGTATGTCTCAAGTCTATGACCTGTTCTCAAATCTGTGTTTATAGTCATTAAGTCATTCACAAATCTACATGTATGTTTGTTTCAAAAGTTCAGCCTCAAATCTTTGTCCTCTAACTGAATTACCTACAATTTAATTATCTGTCCAAATGTGTTCCCAATCCTTGTGCTATAAGGTTTAATAACAAGTATCTTCCAATGTCAGAAACCTGTAAGGAAAGACTGCCATGAGGTTAAAAGGATATTTTACCAACAAACATTTTACGCACCTTCTCCCTTTGCGAACGATTTTGTTATTGATATGGGTGTTCCCAAAAAGAGGACTTCATCACCCTTTTTCCTCTTGCTGGATATTATGTATTATAATCCATCATCTACATGTACAATAGTTTCCTGCTCTGCCAGCTTCCTCTTGCTAGATATAATGTATAATCCATCACCTACATGTACAATAGTTTCCTGCTCTGCCAGCTTCCTCTTGCTAGATATAATGTATAATCCATCATCTACATGTACAATAGTTTCCTGCTCTGCCAGCTTTCTCTTGCTGGATATAATGTATAATCCATCATCTACATGCACAATAGTTTCCTGCTCTGCCAGCTTCCTCTTGCTGGATATAATGTATAATCCATCATCTACATGTACAATAGTTTCCTGCTCTGCCAGCTTCCTCTTGCTAGATATAATGTATAATCCATCACCTACATGTACAATAGTTTCCTGCTCTGCCAGCATTCCTTTTCCACAATGATGTCGTATACTTGATGACATGTTATTGATTCTGATGTCAATAGGTTTGTTGAAAAGGACACAGATTTGAGGAAAAAAAGGACATAGATTTGGGATGTCAATGGTGCAATATAAAAAAGGGCACAGATTTGAGGAAAGAACACAGATTTGAGGAAAGGACATAGATTTGAGGCTTACATTATATCAAACAAGAGAAAGAAAGGAAATAAAAAGTGTTTAATTCAGTCATGATCAATTGGAGCTAGTGATACACCTAAAATCTTGATTATACATGTACAATAATATTGTATTGAATATATGCAAAATGATATATACATTGTGTAGTTCAAAATAGTTATTGGAAATGAAAATTAGTTCCTTTAATTCAACATAATTATTCAGAGATGTGGATTTCACAAATGAACAGAAACATCATGTTCATGATTACAAAAACAATAAAAACACACAAAATCATAAATTGACCTCCTAGTTGTATTAATGTAATGTTTCTATTACAGGTAATGGAAATAATGAGCAGTTTAGGAAGCAAGTTGAATTACAAAGGCTTAGAAATCAAGCACAGGTTTGTGAACTTTCTATTGAACATTTGTTGGAAGTGAAATATATAAAATTGAAAAAGAATGTTTAGCTTGTTTTGAGACAATATCTTTTGGGCCATTAATCAGATCTTACCAATTTTTGTTGAATAAAGTGCATTGCCATTGGGGTGAAAAAGACCCCTATTAATTTTGAGGCCACTTGGTCACAGTTCAAGGTTATATGATCAATTAATAGACTGAAATTTTGGCAAATATTAGGTTTCCAATCATTCGACATACATTGTCACCAGACTTAACAGTCTTCATCACCAAAACCCACAAATTTAGTACCCATCCCAAAAATTTGCTACTACAAATGTTCCTTTAAATGATTGCAACACCACTAATTACATTTTCATTGCTTTATATTGGGGTACCATTTTGTATCCCCAGCTCCTCCTAAACGTCTTATATATTGTAACTCCTTATTACAATTTATTCAAAACTTTCTCACAATCTTAAACATATAATGCGATGGTGCACCTTTTATATTTTTTTTGGTCCAAATTATTTTGAGTATAGGTTTCCCTTTCTAAAGCATGGGCTTGGCCATTGCTTTATTTTGGGTACCCATTTTGTATCTGCAACTCCACTTAAAGCCCTTATTACTATAATTTTTATTTTTATTGGAAATTTTCTCACAATCTTAAACGTACATGTATAATGCCAATGGTCCCAATTATTTCTGAGGTTTCCCTATCACAAATTGTGGACTTTGTAAGGGGCTAGGTGTGCCATTTTGTAAGCTTTGCTCACAGTACCTCTGGTTATACCCCAAGCAGCAAAATTGTGTAGGGTATAATGTTTTTGAACCATCCTTCCCTCAGTCCTGTTCTTGTTATTGCAACTCCTCTGAAACCACAAAACAGAATTTCATGTACATTTGTAACTTTGTAGATAATTAGGACATACTATGTTGATGTGCATATTGACAGGAAATTATGATTCAATTTTTATGCCCCCTCCATAGCGGAGGGGGCATTAAGTTTTACCCTTGTCTGTCTGTACGTCTGTACGTCCCAATATTGGTTTCTGTTCTCTAACTTTAGTTTGCCTCAACCAAATGTTATGAAACTTATTCACTATGCTTATTACCACAAAATACAGATCAAGTGTGAATTTTGGTGGCGTCACTTTTACCGTTCTAGAGTTATGCCCCTTTACAAATTGAAAAATTGCTGAATTTTTCGTTTCCGATCTCTAACTTTAGTTTGCCTCAACCAAATGATATGAAACTTATGCACAATGCTAATTACCACAAAACACAGATCAAGTTCGAATTTTGGTGGTGTCACTTTTACAGTTCTAGAGTTATGCCCCTTTAATTTACCAATGGAAAAATTGCTGAATTTTTCGTTTCCGATCTCTAACTTAAGTTTGCCACAGCTAAATGTTATGAAACGTATACACAATGCTTATTTCCACAAAACTCAGATCAAGTACAACTTTGGGTAGCGTCACTTTTACAGTTCTTGAGTTTTGTCCCTTTATAACGTTATATGCAAGCAGGGGCATCATCTGTGTCCCATGGACACATTCCCCATTTATTTTCTAGGAGTTTTGCACCTCCGAAATTTTGGCCTTTAATATACGACTGCAACATTTTGTCATCACAACTCCTATGAAACCACACTACAGAATTTCAGGCAACTTTGTAGATCTGCATCTCAACAGGAAATTATGATTCAATTTTAGTCTTGCCTCGGCGAAAGTCCCAGAAGGCGAGACATATATAGGTGTTGCTTTTCTGTTGGTGGTGTTGGTGTCAACAATTGTTGTCTTCTGCTTATGTTAGTTTGATACAATGATAGGAACTACTTGTAATAGATCAATGATATTTTCTATAAATTTGCATTACTATTATTACATATCAGTTTGATGACTATTTGAGGCCCTGCCCCCTAGGTCATGGTCCAATGACTTTGAATGAATTAGCAATTCTCAATGTTCAGTTTTCTGCGTTAGTCAGTTTGATCAATGATATTTTCTATAAAGTTGCATTACTATCAGAACATATCATTTTGAGGACTATTTCTAGGCCCTACCCCTATAGGTCATGGTCCAGTGACTTTCAATTAATTACACGTGGACCAATTTTCAGTGTTAAGTTTTCTGCTTAAGTTAGTTTGGTAGGTACTACTTACAATACACAATGGTATTTTCTATAAAGTTACATTTATGTCTGACTGTCTGTACATCTCAGTTTGTCGACCATTTCGAGCGAGGCCCTGCCCACTACCTGTAGTTCATGATCCAGCGACTTTGAATTATCTAGCAATGTTACTGTCCATCAGATTCTTTTTCTGAATTTTATGCTTACAGGCGAGACATATCTCTGTGTCAACAGTTTATTTTTTTCTAGGAGTTATACCCCTTTGAACTTAGAATTTTGTCCTAAATACAACGACATATACCGCTGCAACGGTTTGTCATCACAACTCCCCTGAAACCACACAACAGAATTTCATGAAACTTTATAGTTAACGAGGACATAATATGTAAATGTGCTTATCCCCATGAAATTTTTATCAGTTGACTTTTGTAGGAATCTTTGAACTTAGGAATCTGGTGAGAATTTGTTTGCCCAGTGACAATGTGGGGGCGTGGGGTATGTGAGCGTGCTCACAAAAGTTCTTTAATTTAGAAATATTATTATACTTGAGAATGATATATATATAAATGAAAGACACATGGAGTCTTAAGTAAGGTTTATAGAACCATATGGCCTACTTAAGGTTAAAAGGTCAAAGGTCACCTATTATTGATCTTTGATTTTTGTCATTGAACATTATTTTTCAATTTACTCAAAAATAGAATAAGATGTATGGCAAATCTAAATAATGGAAAATGTTCAACATGACATATCAAATCAAGTGAACATTAGTCTCCATTGGTCATTCTTAACCCCTGCCATTTGAGAATGTTCGGAGCAGCTAATATCTTATAAATGGTTGAGATTCCCACCCTAAACCATATATTTTCTTGTTTGACATGTATGTAAAGATGCATTGAATGTCATTTGAGAATGTTCAAATATTTTCATGTCAAGATGAATTGAATGATATATTGGATGAGATCCCCTCCCTACCATTTTAGAATGTTCAGATTATGAGATACCTTACAAATGGTTGAGATTCATTTTCATGTCAAGTGCAATATATAATATATATAGGGTAAGTTCCCTGGGGTAAAAATTTATGGGGATTTGTTTGGAAGACTTCGTTACAGCATCTGGTTATTATCATTATGAATCACACACAATGGCCACGCCACCATTCACTGTGAAAATTCACCATCAAGAATGTTTTTTTAACTGAATCACATTATGTGCATTGTTTGTGTATAATTTGATGAAAAATAGTTACCTGTTCTGTTTTCAGACTTCCTTACACATATTTGGTTTAACTTTTGGGTATGTAATTACGAGACAGACAGTTACTTTTCAGATTAAGAACTGTTCATATAGTTCTATTATATATTATTATACTTGAAAGAATTCCTCGGTCATTTATAGTAAACTCTTTGTAATTAATTAGTACATTTGTTTTTTCAGCTCTACACCTATGATATAGCTAATAGGAACCTGGTCTGGTTTGTTGGCTGTATTAAATAGAAATCTCAACGTGTCTCAGAACTTGATATTTTATAATATGTACAATAGAAACCCAATTTATCTAATCTATATACATGACATATACTTATTGAATAACAACATTGATTGCTTGGTCACTGTATCTATCCAAGTAAACATTGCCCTTTTGGTTGCTTGGTCATTGAACCCCATACTATAATAACTGGTCTGTCAAGGTAGTAATTAGCCCATTGGTTGCTTGGTTATTGAACTCCATACTATAATAACTGTTCTGTCAAGGTAGTAATTAGCCCATTGATTGCTTTGAGTTGTTATTGAACATGTATAACCCCTATCATTGTTTCATGGTTGTAGTATGTTATAAGTATACAATATTGTTGCAGGCCTTGCAGAGAGACATTAAAGAAAAGCTAACAGACGAACTTGATGCACTTTTTGAACAGTTTATAACTGATGTAGAACAGTATGAACGACTGGAAGAACAAAACCAAAACTATGTCTTCAAAAGATCTATTTCTGCAAGGTATTAAACCAATAAAACACTTAATTACAAATAACAGTAAGTTCACTCAGTGAAATGTGTATGTATTGCATGGTCTGATATGTCTTTTATGTCTTTTGTCTTTAATGTAAGTAAAAGGTACATGTTCTTTTTCCTGCATGAAGTATAAGTCATTATAAACATGCTAATATTACAATAAATAAAATGATATTAAAATAGTCTTTCAGAAAAATAGAGAAGAAATAAATGTTTCTGATACATGTACATCTAATTTAACACATAACCTGTTGTAACAGTTCTCTGCATGGTTCAGTCAAAGTGATTTTAATTTTTTAAAATATTTGCTATAATTGTTAGGTTGAGTTAACATTTAACATTTCTTTGATGTTGTATGATGTAAGATCACATAAACTTGCATGGAGTTACACTTTAGTGAGAGGTTCTGCATCCATGCAGTATAATCCCAGTTTGACCCTGATTTCATATTTTTTTTAAATTGGTTTGATTGACCAGTACTTAAAAGTTCTTATCTAGGGTATGTAGATCCATTCTCCTGATATATAAACTTTGTTAGAAGAGTAGTTCAACCTACTTTCATGCTTCAGTGGAGTTGGTCATGCAATCAATATCAAAGTTCATACCATGGATACTACCAAGATCTTTAATCATGTGGAGTTTTTAGATTTGCCCAGACAATAGTGGCCATGCTGTCCTAATTTTTATCTTTTACTGTTTTTCTACATGTACATATAGAAATAAGAAGATGTGGTATGAGTGCCAATGAGACAACTCTCCATCCAAGTCACAATGTATAAATAGTCAACAATTATAGGTCAAAGTACGGCCTTCAACATATAGTACATTTAACTATGCTTTTGAACTTATCTGTTTTTAAGTGATGAAAAATATTCCTGTAGTTTTGCCATTTCACCAATAGAAAAGTGCTATAAGGTGAAATTTAATTTTCTCCATAATGTTGTACTGCTATGAAAACCCTTCATTCCTTTTAAATTGAAAGACCTCTTCATCATGCATTTTGCATGAATTGTTGGTAAAAGAGTTTATATTTTATATCTAAATATTTAATGGCACTTTCTCCTTTCTTCATCTGATTTCCATTCATTTGTAAAATATGTCATTTTGAATGACTTTTTTTCAATCAGTGATTTTCTATTCCTGGAAGTTTGTAAAATAGTGACATTTTTGCCAGTTTGTCATAGTGGTACATGTATAGGCAACCTCATGTGAAATGACTATTTTTTGTAGTAACACAGATATTCTCAAAAATCAAGAATTAAAAGATGAGTTTCAGTTCATCTTGTTCATACTACACTTTTAAATTAGTTTGCAATTTATACGAACTCAAATAGATAAGCTGTAAATTATTTGCTAAATAGAAACCTGTATTAGTTTAAATTTTTTGTAACATTCACTGGTAGACCTATTTGGAAAATGCCCGCGATTTTTGGCTAATCTCCGCGAAACGGATAATAATTAGAGGTTCATCGTAAATTTGCTGTATTACAGAATATTATGCATGTTATCCGGAGATTTTCCGTGTCGGCGGGAATTAGCCGTTTGTCCGATAAAACGGGTGTGTATTGAGTCAGTGATAGAACCAGTGATGCGTGAGCGGCGGTTATTAATAGATCGTTGTACATAGATGATTATAGAATCCGTTATGCGTGAGCGACGGTTATTAATAGATCGTTGTGATATATACAATGTTTACAGTCAGATTAAAAAAACTATCTTATTTCCCTTTTCGGTCGAGATAAAACGGTGTTTTTGATAATAAAGTTACTTACGATTTAAATATCAAATGTTGTCTTTGTTCATTAAAGAAAAATCTATTTTAATGTGACCAATGAACAAGATGAATACACGTGTTATCTTTGCTAAAGACAACTACAATTTTTTTAATATATGAATGGAAATCGTATTTACGTTAAAAAACGTAAACTAATCTACTATTCATGATAGATTCATAATGTGAATCGATAGTTTGGGTCAGAAACTTTGTTCTTCACAATTGTCATGTTTAGAAAAAAAATCAGTCCTTGTACTTTTAGAGTCTCCGGAAGATACCGTAATCGGGCAGGATGTCAAACTGATCTGACACTTGTCCTAGTGTATTTAACACCTGCTGTGATATTGCTTGTGCAATACCAGTGGAAGGTCGTAAATCAATCTGTACCCGATTGATCAGAATTTAATTTTACCTGTACATATATTTAGTCGTTACGGAGGATATCATAGATACATGTTATATATTGTATTGTAATTAATGAAGATAATTTAAATATATTATATAATAAAGACCTATTTGCATATAAATCGAACATATTCATTCCAACCAAGAAGGTTTGAAATTGAAAGTTTTCAACAAACTTTTGATAAAATCTTTCCCGTAAATTACAACGAGTCATTGGTTTATAGTTACACAATTGTTACCCTTCTAACGTCTTATTTCTTTGTGCTATTAAAAGAACTCAAAATTTTCCATATCAGATCACATTTCGTACGAGTCCTAAAAATTATAATTGAATAATCTTCTATTTTCCTTTCGACACCACGTTCCCCATAGGAGCCTCAAGATCTAATCATACCTGTCAATCATTAGCCACAAGTTGGTCCGCCAGATAGATGTGCTTTCTATTATGACATCGTTGAGAAGTTTTTGTAAATTGATTTGTGATATAAATAGAGTGATGTGAAGTTTATTTTACGGCCGATCAAAATTTGATGTGATTCGATTTTTCTTTTACACAAAGATGTTTTTTAATATGTCATAAAATACATGGAAATAAAACATTTGAGTTCTTTTTTTCCCGTAAATATATTCAATAAACCAAAATTTATTTCAAAAGGTAAACATTTATAATCATTACAAAGTTATAATTTGATTTTTATTTAAGTCGGTTAATGGAAACAATAAAATGACAACGTCTTTGCAGAAATATTAATCCAGACATTAACGTACTTAGGCTGTCCATTTGTTCCACTGTGTAGGACAATTTATTCACGAACTACATCATTAATAATTACTAATATAACAGTTGCTGAAATGTAAGTTGTATATTATTTATTTTTTTACAAACATGCGTTTTGGTTTGAACGGTTCAGATTTGCTATTACAGCATGTGTAGATTCCTTGATTTTCATCTAGTTTCAGTTATATATATACTAGTTCCAGTCAGTATAGGGCTAATCATTTTGCCTTCCAACAAAGTCAACGATTTAGCATCGGACGTATACGTGACTGCGTATTTATACATCTCTATATGTTATATCTAATGTAATGGACTCCTAGTATGTTGTCCTTTTAAAGTTGGCTATGCAATATTGGTTGTGCTCATTGTTGAAGGCTGTACAGTGACCTATAGTTGTTAATTTCTGTGTCATTTCTCTTGTGGAGAGTTGTCTTATTGGCAATCATACCACGTCTTCTTTTTTTATAACGTACCCGTTTTAATAGCAATGTTATATTCAAAACGGATGAGAAAACCCCATGGATGACAATTATCTATATCCATGTCAAGTGGGGTTAGGTAATAGGAGCGGAACTTATTGATTATGTATGTTTGTGAGGGTCTGTATAGGATTTATAGAAGAATAGAGAACACAAATGGACAAAAAGTGCACAACATAGGACCAGAAAAGTAAAGAAAAATAGACGCCAAGAAAATAAAGAATATAGAATAATGAGAAAAAAATATGAAGAATAGAGAAAAACAGATGACTAACAAATTAAAAGACAATTAGGATTGAAAGACCCCCCCCCCCCCCCCCCCCCCAATATTCAAGACCTTCGTATGTGTTCAAAGAAAATCTGCATACGTTATAGTTCCTTGCTATAAAGTTACGTTCTCAAAGGCTTTTAAGGATTATGTACCCTTGTGTTGATTAAATGCTAACCATATGGATTTTTTTTAGAAAATCCACAGCTTTTCCCTTGTACTGTCATATTTGGCGATTCAATGCTTTATTGATGAAGGATTATTGCATTCAGTGCTAGCAATGATTTTTTTAATTGAGTTATATATGTTTAAAATATTATAACAAAAATAAAATGCTTCGGCGCTGAGCGCAGCCTGATATGACCGCAGAAGTTGAACCATGAACAGTTGGGGCAAATTTTGACACAATATTCAAGCTTATTACTGTCTGAATTAGGATTGTGATCAAATATTTGACATAATATAGGTTTCTGACACAAAACATGTGTAAAGGTCTTTCAAATCTATTGGGCAATACTGTGCAATTAAAGATTTCTTCTTGAAACTTTTGAAATATTTTAAAATTTGAAAAATTTTGAAAAAAAAATTAAACCCCTTTTAAAAAATTGGAAACCTGCAAACTTTTTGAACTCACAACCCCCCTGCCCTTTGGAGCAATAACCTCAACACTTGATCCCAGTTTTCCTTTGTAGTATGGAAACTTGTAGTACAATTTCAGAACGATCCATACAGTGACTTAAACACAAGTTATTGTCTGAAAAACTAGAATAACTAAAAAAATGTTTTTTGGCCCTTTTATGGCCCCGAATTCCTTCATGAATGGGGCAATTACCCCCAAACTCAATCCCAGCCTTCCTTTTGTGATATGGAACTTTGTGGTACAATGTCAGAGAGATCCATACACTTACACACAAGTTATAGTCCAGAAACTACAAATGTGTCTTCGGACGACGTAGACGACAACAACCACATCATACCATTATACGACCCCCCCCCCCAAAAAATTGGAATCGTATAAAAATCTCGGTCTTAAAATCTGTGGATTTTCTAAAAAAATCTTGGTTTTATTTTCACCAAATTTTCTTTTTCTACTAAATTCAATTAAACTATAAATAATAATGCTTTGCACGAAGTTTCCCCTTGGTATATGTACAAAATGGTCCATCTCTTTTTATAAATCTGGATAATTTCAGAAAAGGTATCAAAATTCATAGGGACTCCTGGAGATGGGACAATTTTTTTCAAGCCCTCCCTTTTCTCCAAAGTGCATTTTTTTTTTTT